CTGGAGGCCCATCCGTGTTTGCACCCATCTGTGGCCCATGTCTGGGTGCTCACTCACATCCGCACCCCCCTACCATGTACATCCAGACATGCACCCGCAGCTGTACCCACCTACCATGCACATCTGGATGCCCACCTGTGTCTACACCCATCTACCATGCACTGGATGCCCATCTGTATATGCACCCACCTAATGTACGCATCTGGGTATCCCCACACGTCTGCACCCACCTACTGTGCACGTCCGGACAGCTACCCACACCTGTACCTGAGTCTCCATGGACACCCAGCCACAACTGCACTTGTTACCAGCTATGGCCCAGCACCCACCTCCCCGAGCCCATCGTGACACCCTCCATACACCCCCAAGCCCACAGCACCCCAAACCCTTCTCATTAACCAGGGAGAGGACAGAGGCATGGAGCACCCTCGCCATCCCATCCCGCTCCCTTTCCAAACCCACATCCCAGCTGGGCTGAGTTGCAGTGACCACCAGGCACTCCACAGCGCGGACGGACTGATGACCCAGGCAAGTCACAGGGCAGAGCAGTGGCATGTTCACTGCTATTTATTGAAGCCAGGTCCTTAAGAAAGCCTCCCCAAATCTCCTCAGGAAGCCTGATGAACATTAAGGGGACTTTGGCTGGAAAACAGCAAGGCACAAACAGGGCTTTTCTTTTAAAGACCTCCCTTCAAGCAAAACAAGCACCAGATCTTTTCACTTGCAGGATCTGGCCTGGCTCTTCCAGCATCCCTGGATCCCATGGATCCCACGCCATGGCCTTTGGGGAGGATACCAGGAGGTGAGGAATGTTGCTCCAGTGTGTTTGAGGGAGCTAAGCCATCTCAAACTTGGTGCTGAGAGCACAAGTGTTTTCCTCCAGCCAAGGCCGGCACAGGAACCACAGTCGTTGGGTTCTCATTAAGCATTGGTTGGTTTTAGGCAAATCCTGATCAGCCAAGTTTACCCTTCTCTTCCCTGGCACTGTTTTGCCTTAGAGTGATGGGCATGGAGATGTAGCCCAAGCCCAGGAATTACAAAAACACCAAAAATGGGATTTGCATCAAACCCAAACTGCTTAATGAGGAGGAAAACTTTCCAAAGTTTCAGCTTGGAAAAAACGAGCAAATAACAACCCCAGGGCACACACTTCTATTTGCTGTCAGATCCAAGGATTGCATTTCAGTACTTTTGGAAGTGAAAAGATGTTTTTCCTGGTAAGTCTTTCCTGGGTTAGTTCAGAGGGGTTGCATCATTTTGGAGCTGAAGAGAATGTCAGCAAAACCAACCCCAAAACCTGGCACCTGAGGGCTCAGGCACTGGGCTGCAGAGGGAGGCAGAAAATGGCGCTGCTGGAAGACAAGATCCCATGAAAGTACCTTTCCAACCCACTTTATTTTATGTCATCTTGGAAGAGGGACAAGAGTGACCCGTTAAACACAACAAGCATAGGGGACAGTGCCAGTGGGCTGGACAGCCACATCCCCAAGCCCAGGTGCTGGCCTGGGTATTGTTTAAGAGGGATGTAGCCTCTGTTCCTTCCTGTTTGCTCCTGTTTGCAGATCACCAGTGAGTGGCACAGCCAGTTCTGCTCCGCAGCCCATGGGTCACTCCCTGCATTGTCAGAATTCACCACTGACTCCTGCTCTCTGCTCCCTTGCTGCCCTTTCACAGCCCATGAGAGCTTCTCTCATCAGTGGCGCTGAGCTCCCCTGGGCTGGGGCATGGTGCTCCTCTCTCTGAAGTGCTGGAGAGCATTCCCTTGGAAAGCAAAGTGAACAGAAGAGGTTCATAGGAGGCAAATGAGCAGAAAGTTTCTATTCCAGAGCAGGCAGGAACACAGCAGAATCAGTGGGGTGGAGGCTGCAGCCCAGAAACGAACCGTGTCCTGGACTGCATCAACAGCAGTGTGACCAGCAGGTCGAGGGAGGGGATTCTCCCCCTCTGCTCTGGTGAGGTCCTCCCCTGCAGTCCTGTGTCCAGCTCTGGGGCCCCAGCATAAGTAGGATGTGGAGCTGTTGGAGGGAGTTCAGAGGAGGTCACGAAGATGCTCCAAGGGCTGGAGCAGCTCTGCTATGGAGACAGGCTGAGAGAGCTGGGCTTGTTCAGCCTGGAGAAGGGAAGGCTCCAGGGAGACCTTAGAGCAGCTTCCAGTGCCTAAAGGGGCTGACAAGAAAACTGGAGAGGGGCTTTTGACAAGGGCCTGTAGGGACAGGACAAGGGGGAATGGCTTTAACCTGACAGAGGGGAGGTTGGGATGAGATCTAACCTGTGAGGCCCTGGCACAGGGTGCCCAGAGAAGCTGTGACTGCCCCATCCCTGGGGGGCAGGTTGGACAGGGCTTGAAGCAACCTGCTCTAGTGGAAGGTGTCTGTGCCCAAGGCAGGGACTTGGAAGCAGATGAGCTTTAAGGTCCCTTCCAACCCAAACCAGTCTGTGATATCCTCCCTTATGTGAGTGGCTGAAACCCCCATGTTACTGATGAGCTGCATCCCCAAAGGCTATGCAGATCTTAAGGTCTATTTCAGGATGACACACCTCATCCAAAGAGAGCTTCATGGGAAATGCTGCGGAAGGAGCAGAGGGACTGTCAGGGTCTGCTCAAGCATTTGGGACACCTGGAGAAACCAAATCCTTTTCTTATGCAGCTTCACACCCTGGGTTCCGACTGGCCCAGGACACCTTGCTCCACAAAGAGCAGTGTGTGGGGGACCTCTGTGCCCGCAGGTTGATGTGAAGACAAAGAGTGTGGCAGTGACCATGTCACCCATTTGGGCATATGTGCAGAGCTCCATGGGTACACTGCCAAGCATCAGGACTCAGCACCGTGGTGGTGACAGCCAGAGCCAGTCCTACCAAACAGCATGTTCCCGTGCTGCATCCAGTGCTAAGGTTTCCAAACTTTCCCCGTAGCCTGATGGTGCCTAGAGTGGTAAAAGGAGACTCTCACAGCCATCATCACATTCCTCACTGTGCACCTCAGACACCGGCAGCATCCCAGCCCTCCCCATTTTGCTCACACCCCACAGCAGCATCGGTCCTGCACATCCCTCTCCTCCGAGCACTGGATGGGCAAGCAGCCTCTAGGATCAAGGCGTCTGCTTTTGTGGGCTTGAGCAGCATCTCCCTCTGGTGGCTAAGGAGCAAGGAGCCATAGGGAGAAATGCCTTCCCATGTGGGAGATCCCAGGTCCCTTCTTCATCCTCCTGCTGAAAATCCTGACAGACAACTTGGGATTGCAGGAGAAAAGCGTGGGGAAGAGAGAAAGGAAGGGATGTGAAGTGCTGTGTGCATGCCTGTCTGTGTTCTTTTTTTGCATACTTTCAGCTGGAGAGAGGGAAGGCCCTTGCTCAATTAAACAGCCTGTGGTGGGTAGAACCAGAATGGGTAAAAAATCTAAGAAAGCAGGAAAATGGAGTTGCAAAGGAGAGGGGATGTCACATCCAGCCAGGAAACTGTGCAGTGGTTTGCGTTCAAAGCAGCAGGACACCAAGGTTGAACGTCCCCTACAGCAAGGTCCAGAGGACCTCTCCATGCTTATGTGCACTCCCAACATGAGACACAGACACAGCAAAAACTGGTTTGTTTTTAAAGCATCATTATGTATTATCTAAAGTAAAAAACTAAACTAGATAAGAATCTCCATAATGCTATGGCAGCTCTGCTGCCTTGTGTGTGATGTGCATAGTGAGGAGGACTCTGGACCAGCAAAGCACAGCCACAGCATGGCAGTGCTGGGATCCAGGTGGAGGCATGGAGCTTTTGTCATGTTGGAAAGCAGCTTCACTCTGAAACTGGCACCAGCTGGGTTGCAAGTGCCCAGATGAGCTTGAAGGCTGGGTCAGTCTGGAGCTGTGACTGTTACATGGAAGCTCATTTTAATAATTCCTTGCATGCCTGTCCTTCCTGCTGCCTCTTCTGCCCTGGGGCACCACCAGTGTCCTGCCCACAGCAGGACAACAGCTGGAAGATGCAGCCAGATGTGTACACTTGAGCTTGGTGGTGAAGCAGCTGACCAGACCTATACAACATGTCAAGCCATGCCCTGGGCACAAACCCTTGTCCAGCCAGCCCAGCTGGAAGCATGAGCTATTTCTGAGACCCCAGTTGAGGTCTTTAGTTCCTGATATAAATAAGGAATATGTCAGACTTTGGTTCCTGATATAAATAAACCCTGCCTGCAATGGGGATTTTACAGGAGCAGGAGCACGTAGATGTGTTTTGAGATTTGGCTTGAGGCTAAAGTTAAGAGGGAGCATCCAGACAAAGCTGGATTATCTGCAGCAAGGAAGAAGCTGCAGAAAAAGGCCACTTGAGGAAGCAGGGTGGTGGCAGGCGAGCAAAGCAGGACATGGCTTTTGTCTACAGTTCAGGCTCCCGAGGCTGTGGTCTGTAGCATGAAGAGGGTCTGCCATCCTATTTGGCTCCAGCAAATGGAGTTGGTAAAGCTCACAAGGTGAACATGATGAGGGAAAATTAAATCAAGCACTGCTGAGCCTTACTTTAGGGCTTATTCTGCCCCTAAGGAATGGAATCTGAGAGTAAAAGTCTTAATTTTTCTGCTTTAGACACTTATTTGGCCTGAGAAGACTCCTGTTTTGGGCAGCATTGAAGGCTCTGGAGGCAGCAACCAGATCTCCACACGGGGACAGGCCAGCAGCTTGTATAGGCACTTGTTAAAGGACATGCTTCAAGGCACTGCTACAAATATATCAAAGGCAGCATGCTCCAGCTGCCTAGCAGTGTACATAAGTAAGTTTAATAAATACCTAAACCTGGACTTTTAAGGTTTTTCAGGACCTTTGAATCTCCAAAACTGCAAGTAGAAGATGCACCAGGAGGTAAGGTGATGTCCTAGTGATGGAGCACCCCATCTGCCCAGCAGCACCAGGGGCACCATGGGGACAGTCTTCATGGCCAGCATTAACATCCCACAGCCTCCTGCTGTATCCTATCACCGTGGCAGTTACCCCAGTGCATGGGGTTTACTCCATGCAAGGTCACTCCAGCAACCCAGACCGGTTCATCCCCTCTCCCATCTCCTCCAGCCCTCACTGTGGGCATCCAGGGTCAGCCTTGGGGGTGGAAAGTGAAGCGTGGCCTCAGCTTGCTCTTTGCAACAGTCCCCTGTGTGCCACAATGGGTGTCCCAAAGGCAATGACACTCTTTGGGACTGACCCACCACCCCACAGCCACCTGTGCTGCTGAGGGTAGAGCTGTGCTGCAGATCCTTGTGGGCACAAGTGCCCAGGATTGGGCTGATGGTCACCATCTCAAGGGATAAATCCTCTCCATGTCCTCCTTCTCCCAGGCAGCCTGGAGGAGGCTGGGCTTTGCTGTCCCTTTGCACCAGGGCCATGCTTGTAGCTGGGACTGTCCCCTAACTGGGTGATGTGATGCCTCCTGCACTTGCACTGTAATACAAGGAAGAGCCCTTGGTCAGATGCAAGGAGAAGCTGCTGGGAAAGGATATGGCTGGGGGAAAATCAGGCTCCTGCCCTGCTCCATCCTCCTGTGCTGTTCTCACAGTGCTGGTGGTGGGTTTGCTGCCACCTCCATTCCCCACTGCCTGTGATTTCCCATCACTCAGATCCCATTCAACACCCCCAGGACCGATTTCCCTTGCGGGGAAGGAAAGGTTTGCTTCAGGCTCAACACTGGCAGGTTTCCCCATCATCCATGTGCCAGGATAAACCTCTCCCATGCCACCGTCTCCAAAAGCTGTATTGATCATGGACGTATCTCCTGTCTTCAAGGCCAGCTTTACCAGCAGCCAGTGGTGATGGTTTGTCCAGCTGCCCTCCAAACACCCTCTGACTTGCAGGAGCGATGAGCCGTTCCCATTCTGGGGATCTACCCTGGTCCTTGTCCCTCCCAAGGACTCTCCATCTCCAGAAATTCCCAAGCTCTGCCCATCCTGGGAGCTGTCTCCAGCAACCTCCTCATCACTGGCAGCTGCAGCACTGCAGGTTGTCTCCAGGAAGCCCTGGTGGATCTCTGCGGATTTGGGATGGAGCAGGCTGTAATACACCACCAGGGCTGCGGCACCTGAAAAGAGAAGAAGGGTGTCAAGGGAGGAGTTTCAGCAACGTTTCATTGGGGTGCCACCTCCAGATCCCTTTCCAGAGACGCTGCCAGGCATCAGATGTCCAAACACACATCTTTCATGCTTTTATAGGGATGCAAGTGTCCCACAGGAGCAGCTCTCCGGAAAGGGAGCGCTGAGCACGCTCTCAAGACTGAATTTATCTGGATTGATTTGCAGACCAATGGGTGCACAGTGAGGGAGCCACTGAGCACCAGTGGGCAGGGCACAGGGAAGAGAGGAGATGTGTGGTGCAGAAATCCTCCCATCTCACAGCATCCCCATCCTCTAGCCATTAAATGAGACACCAGCAGGTTTTTAAGACACTTTCTTATTACTATCCTATTTCTATCTCAAAATCATTCAAGGCCAAAGAAATTGCTCTTTTTCCAGCCTGAAGTTGCCCTTTCTTGGACAGCATTGGTGTGCACATAGCCAGTCTGGGGAGACGCACAAAGCCCATCCTGTAGGTATTACAGCATCCCTCTTCTCCCATCCCAGTGGAAAACATGAGTGCTGATGGGTTGTTTGCAAGCATCATACAACCTCTCCCCTCCTTCAGCTGAGTTGTGTATTAAAGCTCTAGGGAATTAAATGAGCCAGCTGGCCGCAGCTGCTGCCTGCTTTATGGGCAGAGCATGGAGTAAGGCAGAGTATGGGCAGGGTATGGAGCACCTCCTCCATCGTACCAAAAAGCCCTCCCCATGAGCACAAGAAACGTTTCCATTTACACAAGTGGCCCCGGTCTTTGAAAGGAAAGAGGCTGGGAGAAAGCTGCTGTTGTTCTGCATGGCCCTACATCAGTGTGTTTCCAAAACATACCCAGTGATTGATGGCTCATCAGTCACAAGCCACCTTCATAAGTCATCAGTATATGCTCAAATGAGAACCTTTCCCTATAGCAATCCCGAGTGTTGTACCACTGCCTGCACTGATCCCCAAGCACCAGGAACCCAGAAAGCAGCGATGTGCTTCAAGATTGCACATACTGTATTTGAAAGTGGTACCTGGGCCATTCGGTGACATTTCAATCCTTTCTGCAAGTTTCCCTTTTCAGGGATGGGCTTTTAAAACTGAACTCAGGGTAGATCTATTATCAAATATGTTCAGACACTTAAGCTGGAAGAAATAAATACTCTGATGCAGCTAAAATAACCCATGATGCTCATTTACTCAAGCTACTCTTGAAACATGAAATCAGGCTCTAAACCCCACCAGATCTTACCTATTACAGACCCTGACATGACAGCTCCAGTCACACACAGGCTGTTCCTCAGCTCTGCCTGCAGGAACCGAGTGGTCAGCAGCAGCAGGAGGGTTTTCCATCAGCATTACCTGCAGAGGGAAGAGAGCTGTCATTTCATTCCTTTTGACAGCTTTAGACATGCTTCTGATGACAGAAAACACCCAGTTTCTAGATTTTACTGATTTATTTTGCACCTAACTTGTCACTTTAAGCATAAGGGTTACTGGACTGAACTTCCTGCGAGGTCTGGACCTTCTTTTTTACCACAAAAAGTAACTCTGGCAGAGCAGCACAGCCACTCAGGTGTTAGTAAGACACTGTGTGGCTGCTAAGAAAACAAAGCCAGAGCAGAAGGTACATCCACCGTGCTCTGTGTGGTCATCAAGGTGGAAGTACCAGTAAATGCTGAGGTTTTATCAAGTGGTGATGTGGGAGATGAGAAAGGAGAGTCTGAAGCTATTGCTTCTCCCCAGCAACTATGTCCATGTGGAATACCAAATATCCCGGGTACTTACTGCATAAAACACAGCCACCCTGTGCTTGGAGGGGCCGGGCCGGACATTAATGTAGCAGAATATGTACACGGCTCCCACCAGGCAATTGAACAACCCCCGGCAGCAGGACTGGGCCACGATGTCTGTCTGCTGGGCCACCAGCCAGATGGACACCAGCAATCAGTGGACACCTGCGAGGGGAAAGGATGGGGGATGCTGCAAAGTGCTCTGGGACCAGGAGCACCTCTGTGGCTGACAGCGGGATGGGGCATGGGGAAGACGGTCACAGGTCTTACCGGCCACAGCAAAAACCCAAAGGAATAGAGCCTGGCAAAGAGCACCAGGGCCAAGACCAAGACCCTGGTCCCCAGCATCCCTGTCCTCCAGAGCAGCAGGCAGAGGATGGCTGCGGCCAGTGGGCAGAGGTGACTGGGTTTGAGCAGGCAGGTGAAACGGCTGTAGGAGACCAAAGCCCAGGCGAGGCGGAGCAGGGACAGCTCTGCGCTGACACCTGCATGGGGACAGGGGCAGTCAGGCGCCCTGAGGGTTGTCCAGCTATGTTGTAGGACTGTATCTCAATGTTATGGAGCTGCTGGTAGCACCCTGACACAAGCCAGACACACATCTGCCCTGCCCATTGGGGGATTTCAACCAGTTCCTGCTGAATCTGGTCTCCTTTGCATGCTTTGCATCTGCCTGCTTAAATCCTCTAACCGCTCTCTCCCACGGGCAGAGCCCTGCAGCAGCACAGCATGTCCATCTCCAGTCACGGCAATCGGACCAGAGACTGATGCCATCTTTGTGGACACTGTGACTCTACTCCCCAAACTTCTCCCTTTGCACACCTGAAAGTTCAGCTTGTCTATAGAGCAGCCCTAAACCCCTACATGCTCAGCACTGCACTGTGATTAGGGCTGGACCACCAACAGGGACATGCGTTGGGTTCAATCCCAGCCAATGCACTGTCATGCCATGGAGACCCCCTGTGAGGGTGACTGACTGTACTGGCCAGGTTCAGTTGCAGCAATCTTTAAGTCACATTTGTCCCAGCTTGCTTTCCACTGGGGGCTCTCAGTCCCTTCACAGTGTTCCTCTGGATGGAGCCCTGCACTATGCCAGGTGGACACACACATCCCTTACCCAAATGCAATTCCCCTCTGTAACTCACAGCATCCTCCTGGAAACTCCCCACTCACCAGGGATGAAGCCCGCTGGGTCGACTGCCACAACAACGTATGCCTGCAGCAGGAGGTGGGGCAGGGTCTGCAGCAGGGCTTTCAGGAGCTGCAGCACACACACATCCCCGTGCTGCATCAGCACCTCCCCAGCACCAGCACTGCTGCCTGTCTTGTCACCATCCACGGAACATCCCAGTACCTGCAAGAGTCCCTGTGATGAGATGTCCACCCTGGTTTGGGACTGCACCAGGGTTAGGGGAGGCTTGATGGGGAGCATCACTCACCGCTTCCAGAGGCCCAGCTGCAGGAGGTGGAGCACCAGGAGGCAGCAGCCGGGCGGGCGGCCATCCGCCCTGAACCAGAGGATGCTGAGGAGCTGAGCCACGTAGCGGGGCACCACGCAGGCGACCGTCAGACCGAACCAGCCCAGCTGCCCGCGGACAAGGCACAGAGCCCTGGATAACATCCAACCGGCACCACTGAGGGATGCGACAGCCACGCATGCCCCACAACTGCACAGTGCTAACCATAACCCGACCCAGACACATCTCCCAGCCGGCAAAGGGGTTCGCAGCCCTTGTCACTGCTTATCTGGGGCGGCTGGCTCCGGGTGGCTTGTCAGCTGCGGCACAGGCATCACCCCCGAGGGGCTCGGCCCAAGGGAGGGCTCTGACGAAAAGCGCTTGGAGACGGGCTCATGAGACTAATTAATTAATTAATTAAAATAATAATAAACCCACTAATTATTTCCAATTAAAAGCAGACAATGGTTGGGGTCTGCACGGATGCAGACACCCTGCGCTCGGGGCGATGCAGCCCGAGAGACCCCAGCGGAGAACCGCGCACCCCCATCCGCGTGTGCGCAGCCTCGCGCAGCCCTTCGCCCCCCCCCCGCGCATCCTGCGCGCTCACTCACGCGCGCCCCTTCCGCGGCAGAGGAGGAGGAAGGAGTCGCCGGGACAGGTCCCTCCCCTCCCGCCCGCCCCGGCCTGGCCCCGCTGCACCTCCCGCCGGGCGATGGGTGGGGGTTTACGGCCAGCCCCAGGGCTCCGCGGTGGCTGTGCCTTGCGGTGCGCTTGCACAAGCCCGCCCCGGTGCCTCCGTGCCCGAGTGATGGGCGCTTGCCGCCGGGCTGAGCACCAGGCGGCATCGGACAGGATGCGCAGGGAGCCGTGAATTCATTCCGCTGGCTATTTTCCCCTTCAGCCAACAGATGAAACCTTCGTGACGTGTGATCCCGACCGTGAGCGGCTGCAGTTGCCCTTGCGTGTGCAGAGAGGTCTCCTGTCTGCTTTTTTTCCCTACCTTTGGCATTGCAGAGTCCATGTCTTTTAGAAAGCAAACCCACAGCAATTCGCTCCAGGAAAGGTCCTGAAGGGGTTTTTAATTAGAACCACGGAATACCAGAATGGTTTGGGTTAGAAGGGACCTTAAAGCTCATCCAGTTCCAACCCCTGCCATAGGCGGGGACACCTTCCACTAGACCAGGTTGCTCCAAGCCCCATCCATCCTGGCCTTGAACGTTGAATTAGGTCCCAATATCATGTGAGGTTTTGTCATTGCTTTTGCAAAATCGTGCAGGACTCTCCCAAAGCTTTGTCCATCAGCCGGGCTGTAGGGATGTACATGTGCTTGGTGGCTTCCACACATTTACTGTTGGTTTGTGGGAAGTTTATCAAGTTCTTTGCAAACCTTGGAGCAAAGCCTGGACTCCACTGCTTGACAGAAGTGACATTTCTCACCCATTCAGCTGAGTCCTGGAGCAGAGACAGTTTGAAATATGAAAGCTCAGTTTCTCTATAGGTTCCCAGTACATTGCTACAGATATTGTCTACCTGGACTTCTGTAAAGCGTTCGACACAGTCCCTCACAACATCCTCTCTCCTGCAGTCAGGGAGCTCAGACTTGTTTGGCCCAGCAAGATGGATTAAGAATCTCATCAGACATCTGTGCTGCTTTTGGTGTAGCAGCTCCCGCAGGCGCAGCTAGTCCTGCAAATGCACTGCAGCTGACTTTGCATGGCACATTGCCACTGCCAAAGAAATATATCATTAATAATCATCAAGCTCCCCAAGCCCAAAGGTGTATTTGAACCTTAATCGCTCCTTCCAACTAGTGATTTGAAAGTCCTTTGTGCTCGTGAACTGAGGCTTGCACCACCCTCCGAGGTAGCCAAGCAGACAGAAGGTACCTGCTGTTATAATTAAGCCACGTTCTTCCATCTAAGATTAATTTTAACACTTTCAGTTCAAGAATAAGGAATAATAACAGCAAAAAGCTGTTTGATGGTATGCCAAGAAGTTGCAGTGACTCTGTCATGGGGCTGGCTTTCAGGATTAATAAGTCAGACTCCTTGGTGGTTGTATAATCATTGCAATTAGGTGGTTGTATAATCATTGCACCCCAGAAGAAAGTGGGTGCCAAATGGGGAAGTGTCAGCAAGATCATTGCTTCCTGGTTACCCACAGCCAGGAGAAAGAGAAAGGTCTTGGGAGTTGTGCTCTGACATCCTAAATTGTTTATCCCCTTTGATAATAAATGCGGGCATCATTAGCAAAATAGCATGCAAAATCATTCTTAATTGTGACCAGCAACTGGGGGACAGTTGATCCTTTGGTGTAGAGCATGACTGCTGACCACCACATTCCAGAAATGTGAATAGCTATGTCATGGCTATCATGGGGCAGGCATTGAAAAATCTCTTCTTCACAGATCCCAGGAACATTCAGTCCATGGGAAAGATGGACAATATAAGAGTCAGGGATATACTGACAGTATGTATATTTACGATATATATTTATGATATATATATGTGTATATATATACACACATATATATATTGGAAATGCCTTCCTCGTGTGATGAGGGTTCACAATCTGAGGCTTAGTGATGCCCAGCAAGACTGGGGAGCTGGATAACCCATGCTTCACTCATCCAGTGGATAGGAACAATGAGGAGCCTCAAAACAACCTGCACAACAGCACACCCTTAAGCACTGCCCTTGTGAATAGGACAGGACGTAGTAAAGGCAAAGTGGGTCTTGGTTTGCCTACAAATGACATCACACAGACCCTGCTGGCCCTCGTGTGTTGACTTGTTTCAACCTGTGTGCACTTGTTTCAACTGTGTTTTAATACACACCATAGCTGTAAATACTTCACAACTTAGGGAATGATTTAAACAATAGTTCCACCCTGATGGACTCAAATAGCAGATAGTGGGTCACATCTTCTGCAGCTCTGTAGCAGAGCAATGCTGAGGGGTGATTGTGGATGGCATTAGGAGATGGCAGAGATCAAATCTTTTGTTGCAGTAAAAAGGTGATTCTCAGAACTACTATTCCTGGCACCCACAAGAAGAGCTGCCTTCCTGGCTTTGGTCCTGGTGGGGCAAAGGAACTAATTCAGAAGTTGTCTGTGAGAGCTGCCCTGTAAAAGTGACCGCCATATTATTAGGCTTAACCATGCTGTGGGACCAAATACATTCAACATGTGAACCAAAAAGCAGCAGCGCAGAGGAGTGAGAAGCCTGAGGCAGTCTGAGAGCTGTTAAAAAAGCTGCGCTGGGAATCTCAGTGAAATATTTGCTTTGACTGGAAAAGAAAACAAAGAGTCCTAAGAAAAATCCCTGCAAGGCATGGAGGGCAAGTCAAGGGAGGCTCTCGCAGGGAAGAGCTCAGGGATGAACAAGCAGCTGGAAGAGGAGAACGGCAACTCCCATAAAACCAGCTCCCATAAAATGCTGCAGGTTGGATTCAAGTAAGAAAGAGGGCTAAAAAGGGAAGATCCCTTTGCAACAGGCAGCTGAACCAATAGTAGGAATGTCTGTAAATGCATGGAAAGCAGGAAGCCGTGGGGGAAGTCCTTGGTAAGAAAGGAGTAGGACACATAGGGGTGGTATGCTGTACACTCTTCTGTCCATGGTGAAATAGTGAAGGCTATAATAAAAATCCAGTTGCTGAGCATGGGCTCAGCATTTCTGGATGTTGCTGGCACAGAAAGCTGTGGAGGTAGGCACCAGCAGGTCCAAAAGGGGTTAGACAAAGTCATGGACAGCAGGTTGTTATATAGGAATTGAAAGGATGGGCAAGGACCTCCCCTGCAACATCCCTGATTTTGCAATTATGGATGCTGTGGCAAAATGGGACACCTGGCCCATAGATAGTAGCCAGGCTCACAAGCCCTCCCTGAACAGCAAGGAAAGCATGGAAAGAGAAGGCAAAGAGAAGCAGAGGAAGGCATGGAAAGGGGTTGCAAAGAAGGAAAAACAGCATCCAGGGTGTCCTGGGTTCAGCAGTAGCAGTCATGTTTCTCCTTCGTGGTAGCTGGTGCAGTGCTGTGTTTTGACTTCCAGCCTGGGAACAGTGTTGGTGAAGCCGATGTTTTTGGTTGTTGCTAAGTGATGTTTACCCTGACCAAGGACTTTGTGAGGCTCATGCTCTGCCAGGGAGGACGGGAAGCTGTGAGGAAGCAGAGACAGGGCGCCTGACCCGGGCTAGCCAGGGAGGTATTCCATACCACAGCACGTCATGCCCGGGGTGGGGGGTAACTGGGAGTTACCTGGAAGGACATGGGCTTCTGGGTGGGACTCATTTTCTTGGCCGGTGGTATCGTATTCTCTTCCCTTGTTATTTTCCCTTATCATTGTTGTAGTTGATAGTAGCGGTGGTGATTTGTGTTGTACATTGGTTGCTGGACTGTTCTTGTCTCAACCCATAGGAGTTGCACTCTTTCGATCCTCCTCCCCGTTCCTCCGGGAGCGGGGAAGGAGAGAGCCCCGGTGGGGGGGGCAGCCCTCGATTGTTGTCAGCTCGGCACCACTCACTGGGAGTGAGTGAACAAGTTACCTGACTGGGTTTAAACCACGACACAGAGACAGGCAACAGAGGGTTCTCAGTCTCTGGAGCTAGGCCAGCAGCAACATGCTAATTCTGCTTTGCAGAACTATTACCCCAATAAGCCCCTGTTTTGCCAGCTGTGACACCTGAGTGTCACAGAGACAAGACCTTCATGCTCTTGGAGGTGTAGGAATCACAGCAGCACAGGACAGACACTGAAGAAAGCTTTAACCACGACTAGGTTAGAATCACAGCCTAGAGGTCTATAAATACCTCTGCATTTAGAGAGAAATCATGACCAAATGTGTTCAAGCTAAAATGGCAAATGTAACCAGGGCAATGTCTTCTGCAATTTAAGACTCTGTTCTGCTCCTCGCTGTGCTGAGAGGTGTAAATCAGAAGAAACTCTGCTGAAATCATTGCACCAACTTCTGACATTGTGAAGATCAGAATCCATCCATGGCTGAGCATGGAAAGACTCAGCAAGAGGAAACAGAGCTGATCTTCCAGCCTTCCTCTTCTTGATAACCCATTTCCAAAAGGTCCCAGGGTCTAATCCTGCTGGTTACCAGACATGTCAGGCAGAAGGAGGCTTTCTTCTCTTTTCTACCTGAGATGCGTGCTAGAAAACATGCCACAGATCCACTACAGCACAGACTGCTTTCTCCTTGACTCTGGCAATATCACAGAGGTCCAGAAGGCTGTGCTGTAAGACAGCAGGGACAGATCTATCATCTCCTCTAATGAAGGATTGCACAACATCTGTATCTGCCTCTGAACTGGTTGTCAGGCTCTGCCTACAGGCATCGCAGAACATGGAAGAGGTGCATTTGCAGCACTGTGCCAGACACACTTCTTTGGGGTCCCATGAGGCACCTAAAAACTGCCTTTTCTATCTTTGGTCCCTGTGTGTCTCAGCCTGGTGACACCAATTTGCTTAAGCAGCATTATGTGACCCCTCAAACTAACTGAGGCAAGCTGCCATAGCCTTGTGGTCCTTTCCAGGCATATGGAATTGGGAGCATCCAAGCACATGACACCCCTTATTGCCTAGTCCTTGAAATAGGGAAGATAGATAGCACCTCTTGCTCCAGTGTCTCCTTCAGAAGGTAGATGAACGGCAGCAGAAGCTACAGAAGAATAAATGCAAACTCCTGCTCATGTCTGAGACCTTGCCATACAAACCCAATGCAAAGATTTAAAACACCTTATCATTGGGGTGGTTTGAGTAATTGTTTTCATAAATAGATATTTTTTAAATTGTCTTATATATGGTGCAGGAAGTTAGTACTGAAAGTGTTGCACAAGTTAAAAAGAAAAAAAAAAAACAAAAACCAGAAACCAAAAAACCCCACCTTTTCCCTTTTTCCTTTTTAGAAAGGTTTTAAGTATAATGTTATAAAATCACAGACTGGTTCGGGTTAGAAAGGACCTTAAAGCTCATCCAGTTCCAACCCCCTGCCACGGTCAGGGACACCTTCAACTAGACCAGGTTGCTCCAAGCCCCATTCAACCTGGCCTTGAACAGTGCCAGGGATGGGGCAGCCACAGCTTCTCTGGGCAGCCTGTGCCAGGGCCTCACCACCCTCAAAAGGAAGAACTTCTGCCTAGGAGCTCATCTCAATATGCTCTATATGGCACAGAAACCTTGAGGGAGCTGCTGTGGCCAAGCACATTGCACAAATGGAGGTGGCCCAAGGCAGTTTGTGTGCAGCCCAATGCATTTCCCGAGGCGATGCTGCAATGTTTTGAAAGCAATACTTCAGTTCCTCACAGCAGGACAGTAACAGAGAGGTTTCATTGGACCTCCCCGATACTCCCTGAAGCTGTGGAGATTGTCTGATTGGCCACCAGAAGGCTCTAAACATCAAGCATCCTTCACCATCCTCCAGAAACAGCATAAAGCCAAGTTCTGCTCTTTCATCTTAATGCATCTGTGTGGCTGACACTGATCCAAGGGCTGTTCTACCTAGAGCTTCCTCTGACCTGGTAACAACTGAAATCTTCTCATTATTGAGCCTTTCTTAAAAGTTCTCTCCTTCTTAAATGGGCTGGAGACTTTATATCATTCAGGTATAGTTATGCTTCACTGTTATAGCCTTAACTGTGCAGTGACTCTGGTCTATCAAGAGTCAGTTCTAGAGAATTCAAAGATCGGTAATGGAGAAGGGTTTCTGTTGGCTGCAGGAGAAGAGCTGAGAGGAAATGCACAAACTTGGAAGTGTATCCTGGAAATCATGTAATTCTTGAGGTGAAGGAAAAGCAACAGCCTCTATGCAAGAATGGCACTTAATTGTGAAGGAACTTTTCTTGCCTTTTTAGTAGAAAAGCTTCAGAACACACATCATGTTGTTTTGTATAAATATAGCAAAAATTGTCTGAATTTTTCTTTATCAATTAACTGCTTTAACTTCCATAGGGCAAATAAAACTTATTGCAATGCATTGCCAAGTATCAAGCAATCAGGGAAAAATACCTGGTTAATTAATATGTTAATTAACCTCTATAAGGAAGTTTCTTCCTGTGCCATTCCTATGAAACCCTTGGAACAATAGACATTATTATGAAGAAAGTATGTAATACCACTTCTAGATAACGTCTGATCTTGAAGAACATTTCTGTATGTCACTTCTAAACCCTCTGATTGTGCAGAGACAACCCTCTTACTAACATCTTGGTCTCCTTTGTCTGTAGTTACAGAAGCTCCCAGTCCACCCTCTGCCATGAAAATCCTTTCCTTCCTCTTCGCTCTCCTCTTGGTGGTGTTTTACGGAGCTGCAGGTAAGGTTTAAATGAAGAGGAGGGGCTATATAGAAGGAGACACTGGTGTCTTATAAAGCTCTGGAAGTGGCCAAGCTGCCTTCTGCACAGAATCTTCACACAGATCATCAAAACTTGTTGGCAGATTATAGATGATGGATGAAATTAGCAGGCAAACACTTCAACCAGTGTTTCGCCCAACTTCAATTCAGTGCCTTTGCTACATATCTGAAAATCCAGTCTGAGTTGAAAGCACTAGGGATACCCCTAAAATTACCATTCAGCACCAGTGTTTTCCCAGTTGAAGCTTGCAGACTCTTACACTTGGTCTCTGGGTCACCTTACAACAAACACTTATAGTCAGCTGTTCTTAAGCCACACAGAAAAAGAGTAGGTCCCATGCTCTCCAAGCAGCCTTTGCTTCAGAACCTTGTACTTGGGGTGAGCAAGCAGAAGATCATGAGTTAAGGTTGAAATGCTACTTGTGGCTTTCTCTTGGGGGAGAAACCTGTGCAACAGTAACTGGTGGTGTAAGGCTGTGCCTGTTCGGGAGGTGCTAAGAAGTCTGGAACACAAAACCCTCCTTATTGTCCAGAAAAAGGGCCTGCGTTTAAACACCATCCCTAAAATGGGATATCTACAGTGCAGGGCACTGCATGCATAGCCAAGTGGAGGCTTGGGGTTGATGTCTGTGGGAAGAGGATGGAAAGTGCCCTCTGGGGGATTAAGGATGGGAAGATACTGTGATGAACTGCAGACCAGAATGTGGGAGAAATGTCATATATGCTTGCCTGGTCTTATTGTTACCTGGGTTTCTGCTTATTGAAGTTCTTATAGGCAGGACACTGGGCAAAGTGTTCCCTTGGCCTGTTTTATGTCCTTATTTCACCTACAGACACACACAGGGAACATTTGGGCTGTTTCAGAAGGACCTACCTTCTGAGTATACTACAGCAAGAAATGTATCTGTTAGAAAGTGTTTCTGAGAGCTGAGAGTGCTCTTCAATGCCCCACAGACAGACAGTTTGGGACCAGAAGAGTTTTATTCACCCTTCCCTGCACTCCTTTATTCCTGCCTGGAATTTCCTGGGTACTGCTGTGTGTGTATGCACCACACCATTCACGTGCTGTGAATCTAACACACCAGGGATGCATATGTACATATATAATATTCAGGGTCTCTTTGCTGGAACAAGCTCTGCACTTCCTGGATGTGCTGGACTGGGGTTGGATGCATGAGCTGTGAAACTGGAATTAATTGGTTCATGTGCAGTCAATCAGGTGCATCCAGAACGCATCAGCAAGCCAGGCTGCATCTTTATGAATCAACCAAACAGGCAACATGCTGCCTAATTAGAAGGCAGCTCCCTCGGGTAATTTTCACTGCTGACAACTAGCACTTTCATGGATAAAACCTGTCCTGGGAATAGCACAGGCTCGTGGCCATTCCTAAAAGGCACTTTGAATGTGGATATCCTATTTTAATGGGGGAATTAAAAGAGGGTGAAAATTTAGCCACGTAGAACAGAGCAATGCCATGCTGCTCAGCCTCAGACCAAGAGGACAACGCTTGTCATGTCGTCTTTAGTGGCATGGAAGTGGTTATTCTACATGCATTGTTGAACTTATCCATGTACTGGTGCCATCTATATAGACTGCCAGACACCAGGACCTGTTTTTGAGACATGGGTGAAATTTGTAAGGAGGAAAATAGGACAAATCTATGGAAATCCAGATGCACAGAAATCCTCATCTTTTTGCCCTAGAAATGGCAGTGTCTCAGCTGAGCTTGTGCATCTCTCCTTAACTGTGACTTGTAAGACTTTAAGAGCTGGTTAAGTGTCTACTTACTGTTTTCTATCAGGTTTCTGGTGTCTGTCCCTAAAATATGCGTTCCTAAGGGATTCCTAGGCTTGGAAACACAGTTCTTATATCTCAAGAAGGAATTATAGCATTTGTGTGGTTTTCAACCCTCCTCCTCCGAGGGTTACATTAGGACTGCCATGACTTTGGGCACCATTTTGCCATGGTGTCAGCTCATGGGAATTAGAAAAATGCAAAACCCCAACAGAAACAACTGTGTCCTGCTTTTTACAGGCATTGCAAAACCTACAGGACCTTTTATGCGATGTGGATATCGTGGGACTTTCTGCTACCCCGGGATATGCCCTCGGGGCAACATTTACCTGGGAGTATGTCGTTTGGGGCATTCTTGCTGTAGATGGTGAGTTTAGGATTTAACTGGGGCAAAGATTACTTTCTAAATTTTCAGTTAATTCATATTAATGTGGCATGATTTTCCCCATTGACGTAATCTTGAAAACCCTGAAATATTCTTTCCTTTGTGTAGGCTGTAGTGTGGCTACTTGCAGAGGATCTCCAGTGATATGGAGATGATCGCTTTTTACACCGTTGGACTCAGGGAATCATTGTACTGGCCATTATTCACCATTATTCTTTCAATAAAGCAAGAACTGGGGAGGCTGTGTGGCTGCCATGTGTGGTGGTGTCATTCATTTCTCTAGAAGTGTTATTTTCCTTTAGGAATTTGAACAAGAATTCTGAAATCAGGTGGAGCTTGGAGTCCCCTGCTGTGACCAAAGCTGGGGTTAGTGACCATTTCTATATGGAACATATAAGTCTTCTCCAGTGTGGTGCTTCATAGCACTTCTGCTCTGAAAACTGGGTTCCCACCTCCTGCTTTCAGACCTGGTAACAGCATCCTGTGTCATTACAGGAGCAAATAAGGGCACACTGAGCAGCACAAAAGGAAGCAGGTGACCCCATTTTCAAATTTGAAGCCTGGTTTTACCTTTGGTTATTCTGACTGTCATAAATTTGGAATAAATCTGCAAAATGTATATCTGTTGCAGTAGCAAATGAGAAGATCACAGTTAGACCTAAGACATGGCTTGAGGCAATTAGACAACATGTACTAAAGGCTAACATTCCTGCTACTTCAGTCCTTCCTCTTGCAAGAGGTTTCTCCTGTCCTCTCCTGAACCCCAATAGAAAAATCAGAAGGGGACGGCTGCTCAGTGAGCTCCTGTCTCTGGAGCTGCTCCTGCATGGTCAGGAGCATCCTTCTGCAGACAAATCAGCCTTCATGGCTGTGACCAGTAAATGCTGTTATGCCCTGAGACTATCTATAAGGGGCATGTACAGTCAAACCCAGCCTCTGAAGCCGGGCAACCTCAGCCTGTTCCATGTGCTCACACTGTCTCCTGAGTCATAGAATCACAGAATGGTTTGGGTTGGAAGGGACCCTGAAGCTCATCCAGTTCCAACCCCCTGCCATGGCCAGGGACAATTCCCACTAGAACAGGTTACTCCAAGCCCAGTCCAACCTGGCCTTGAGCACTGCCAGGGAATCCATCCCTGGAAGTTCTGTCCAGCTATTGCCAGGGATGGAGCCAAGGCCAATGAGCACTGTGCCAGAATAACCTTTCTGACACATCAGTCTGGATGTAACCACCCTTTCCCACAAGCAGAGGGAATTTAATAGTAAACATGACCAGGCTGAGATAGCTGCTCTTATGGCACATTGTTGTGGGTAAAGGGAATACCTGTATCTATCAACAGCAGTGGGAGCTGAGCTCAGCTTTCACATGGTCTGTGTGAAGTGTAGCACTCATGAATGCTCAGCAAAGGTAGGAGCAGTAATGGTTGGCTTGTAAGAGAAACAATTAACCCAAGTGCTACACACAAACAGCTGACTTGAAGCCTTGAGTCTGCCATTAGTTGCAGAGCACCTGGCCTCCCTTCAAAGCAGATGTTTGTGCAAATGAACCTGCCACCATTGAAACCACAGCCTTGAGAAGGGCAGGAAACTGGGCCAACAGCCACCTTGCAGGGATTGCCCTGGATGGAGACGTGAGGAAGTTGCCAAGTGGAACCAAACCAGCATTTTAACAGTTGATGTCCTAAGAAGTTTTGCACAACCCATGGTCGGTGAGTGTTTCTTTCACAAACTGGAATGGCACAAGATGCTTTACTCAAGGTCTGAGGACTTTGCAGAGAGCATTCAGCTCTTGTTATTTTAGATTCAGCTCTGGAGATAACCCAGTGTCAGTAGCCAGCATCATGCTGTATCATCATGCTGTTCACTCACCGCCACAAATAGCTGCCCTTGCATTTATCACAGAGGAATGGCTTCAAGAGCCAGCTTACAGTAAAATACAGTCTGACAGCTCATTACTATGATCCATGCTGCACATCTCTTGCTTCTTACCCCAATTTCATCTCCCCATCAGTCTATGTATGTCTGAATTCATCTCACAGCTCTCACCAGGAGGTAGAGAGACTGGAATGGGAAATACCAGACAGATAGCATCAGAAGTGGTGGAGTGGGACTGTCCATGCCATGACCATATGCAAGGTATGCAGCAGCTAAATCTCCTTTCAGATGCACATCAAGCCTGGGTGAAAATGGCTGGTCATACAGAATCACAGTGTGTGCCCCTAGGACTCTGCTACACTCCCCAACAGTATTCCCCAAGGTCACTCTTCCAGCACAGTCCCTGTCTCTCTGCACAGGTCTGATAGAGGACACTGGTTCATAACACAGAGGCATGAAGAACAGATCTGCTCACCCCAGTTCCCCCAGCAGTCCTCTTTGCACATGAAGTTTCACTGGAGGAGACAGATGCTCCCAGGACCTTACTGGGGGCACAGCAGTGCTCACAGCACTGCCTGGGTCTCTCATTTCCATGGTACTTTTGTTCAGACATGGCTGCCTGGTGTGGACAGACAGAAAAAGGGAAAAGCTTTGACCCATTTCATATCTGCTGAGCTGTCATGGCATTAAGAGCCACAGGAGGTCATCGGTTGGAAGCAGTACATCTGGTGGTCCGGCTCCTCATGGAGCTTCATTAAGGTGGCAGTTAACTACATCTCTGTGTTGCTGCTCTGTAACACATAAAATAGCTCTGTTTTGGGGTGGTGGAGTTAATAAGAAGCTGTCCTGAGTGCCCTGACCACCATGGCAGAGTAGCACTGACTGCCACGTGATCCCCATGGAGACAGACCTGAACATACTTTGCACAATTTCCCTCACTGGGGAGAGAAATCAGAGCAGGAAAGAGCAATGAAATATGAGAGAGCATATGAAATATGGCAGGAGGGTTGGAACTTGATGATCTTAAGGTCCTTTCCAACCCAATCCATTCCATGATTCTGTGCTGAGGTGTTTGGATAAAAGATATATTCATGTAGAATTCAGCAAATATGCATTATGCATGGTGTGCTTTTAACATATATACACATACACATGTATGCTCAGTAAGTCTGCCACAAGGCTGAAAAAGTATGTGAAGATGGCACCAGCAATACGTGGAGAGCCAATAAAGGGTTACAAACAGCAAACTCTAAACACAACAAAGTCACAGTTAAAGGCTGTCATTCATGGAGTTGCCAGTTGGACGGAGATGTCATCCCATGTGGCATCCTCCCAGTTATTTTCAAGCGAAGCATTGAGAGCACGCTTCACTCAGGGGGAGGAATACAGAGCTCCTTTGTGTTGTGAAAGCAGATTGCCTGCCAAGGTCTAACGAACAGGGATGCAGTGTGTCCTAAGACATGTCCAGCAAACCACAGCGCTGGATGGCCCTTACGCAAGGTGGGATGACACAAGAGCCTGGGCTGGAGGCCTGAGAATCCTTCTCAGAGGTGTCAGAAGAGGAAGCTGATGCTTCTTTTTCTCTGGCAGGGGGAGAAACAGGAAAAGGAGCTTTTGGGCTGGACGTTTTGAGGTGTCAGCCATCCCAAGGGACATCCCAAGCAAAGGCTGCCACCATTCTGCTGCTGGGATCCAAAAGGCTGTGGGAAGCTCTTATTCCTGGGCTGCCAAGCACATCCTCCTGGTCACATCTGCTCCTGGGCAGGCTGTCCCCTCTCCTCAGTCCTGTCCTTGTGCTACACGACACACAGACAAGGACCCTACTGATCATCTCTGCCTCCTTTCTCTTCTCCCCAGAGCTGTGAACCCTCCAGCAGCTCCCAGCCATGCGGATCCTGCCTCTCCTCTGTGCTTTTCTGCTGCTGATGCTCCAGGGAGTAACAGGTAAGAAATGTGTTGGGGGATGCAGAGGGCTTGTCCTTCAACAGTATTTTGTAGGGAAGATTTTCCAGCTGAGTCATGTGTGACTTCTCCTGGTTGCTGTGGCATCATCTCTGGGGTCTCTCACATCCCATTCCTTTAAGGAGAGTCTCCTACTGCATGTTCTGTAGCTGGGATGGGAGCCGGGACCTTGTAACAAAGCTCTTGTGCTCCACAGACAAGGATTTGCTGCCTTCCTCATGCCTCCTGGCCCTTGCCTTTCTGAGTCAGCAGCCCTGGGCAAAGCAGTCATGATGGAGAGGAGGAGGAGGGAGGGAGGCAGATCCTGCTCCCACCCTCGGAGTCCTCCCTTGTGCCAGGAGGGATGCAGCAAACATGTTGGAGAGACTGTTCTGCAGGCTGCTGAGGGATGGTAGAGAGTATTGCCCATCCAAGCACCATAAACATCACCTTGATTTCTGCTGCAGATGCATTTGTGGCAGGGGACAGCTTGGCCACGCAGGGACCGGGGGCTGTACTCAGCATCTCAGCCAGGCCATGCTGAAGGTCTCTTTCTGCCCTCTGCAGGGAAGACCCTGTCTCGGGGATCACCCCAGGACTGTGAGCGCCGTGGGGGCTTCTGCTCTCATGGGTCGTGCCCTCCGGGGATCGGTCGCGTTGGCCTCTGCTCTGAGCACGAGTTCTGCTGTCGGAGGTAGGTTCAGGGCTGCCCACTGGGGTTGGAGGTGAGGCTGCTGGGGACAGAGGGGCAGAATATGCAGCCCAACACATGGGGTACATCCTGGAGCCCCCACGGGGGGCAGGCACTGCCAGATCTTTCTTCCTGCAGCCGATGGTATCCTTGATGGGCTCCCGACTTCCTGATGCTGATATCCAAGCAACAGTCTGAGACCAGCCCGTGTCCTCACAGCGTGCTCGGGGAGATGCTGTGTGGAGGCACCACACAGAGGTGAACACCACTGGGAGCAGCAGCAGCCCTGGATAGATGGACCATGGTCCTGTGGGAATTCCCTTACCCAATGTCCCCAATACAAGGTGGTGGTTGGCATTCCCACTGTGAGATGTGTGTGTGTATCTGTCCTCAGGGAAAAATGTGCGGGCATTCATCTCTTTTCTCTGTGTGCAGAGAAGGGCAGAGAAGGCAGGATGAATTCCTGATAGATAGGTACCCACATACACACAACCCATCCTCATCTACCCGTTATTCAAGCTGGCCCAAGCCACAGCAGTATGGAAAACTCTGGGACCTCAGCACCAGCCTTCTCTCTCAGGAAAGGCATCGCTGCACCTCACATCCCAGGTCAGGGATGGAGGGTTGATGTGACCCCCCTATCTTCAGTGGGTGCCTGCTGGTTATCCACTGGGTCCCAGTCTGGGGCAGGAGTTCATGTGGTGCTGTTTCACAGGACATGTTGCTCTGGTGGCCTTGGGTGCATCCCCAGCTGTGGTACCTGAGTGCATGGCACTGGAGGGTCTTGTGGAGTGCAGAGGTAGAAGGAGATGTGGGAGAAATCATTTTGCCCCTAAGGATACAGAGACTGATGTGGGTCACTTGAGAGCTTGAGATTGTGTTCGGGGTCAGTGCTGTGGGGGTAGGTTCAAGTCATGTGGCTGGGGGGTTCAGGAGCCCAGTTGGGTCAACATTGTGGGTGAGCCTTGGGGCAGATTGATGATGCTTAGCTCAGGGGGACCATGGTGGTGACCCCTGCACTGCCATGGGGCAGTCACCATGGCATTGTCAGGTGATAATTCCACTGCCCCCAAGCAGGGAGAAAGGCAGGCGGGAGGGGACTGAGAGCAGTCTTGGGCATTGGGTACCTTTGTGGCATGGACCATGCCAAGATGTCAGCTGTAGGTTAAAGTCCAGGGCTACATCAGCAGGGCCATGCTGCAGCCCTGGTGGGGTCCAGAAGAAGATCCCCAACTCAAAGGAGCTGGGCAGGGGGTGGCCCCAGACATGGCCTCCCTGCAGTGTGGGCTGGAAGCCCTCTCCAAACCATGACCAGCATCCCTTGGCTGTGCTGGCCCTGGGCTGGTCCTTGGTACCAAGCCTCCAGGAGTGAGGATGCTCCTAGGACCCTTACACTCACAGACCCCAACACGGACACCCAAACCTACTGCTATGGATTGCTGCTCGGAGGAGAGCTCCATCATGGATCTCTCCAATAGATGACACCAGACCATCTGGTATGATACATCATTTGTCTCATGATGTATCCTACCTCAAGACCCTTCGTTCTCTCCGGGATCCAGCTCGCAGAGCTTTGGTCTGTCCGGGCAGCAGACCAGCACTCTTGGTACTCTCTCCCATACCCAGTGCTCTGGTTTGAAGTTTGCTGGGAGACTGCACAACCATGCAGACACACCATAGGCAGATTGCTTGTATAAAAGAATAGTTAGAAATAAAGTTTACTGGGAATATAGGACAGATTATGGTGATCAGATGCAGGGCACAGCCAGAGAAGCACAGTGAGCAGCAGCTTGCTTACATGAGCTTGGCCTCTTTCATCACTTGCTTCTCTATTTCTCATTACCTGTTCTTCCAAGACCCACCTTGATCTTTACATTTCCCATAATTCCTATAAATCATGAAACTCTTGAGCAAACCCACATTTCCAAGGCCTGATATTAAGTCCTATTCACCATCAATAGACTCCCTTAGCTTGCAAACCTTTACACAGAGACTTCTTTCTTTTGAACCACGTTTGTGGGTTGTGTACCAGGAACGACAGTTTTAGGAGCAGTCAATTAAGACAGAATTAGGTGAGCTGTGTTCTCACTTGATCACCTTCCTCTATCCAGTCTTTGTTTAGATGAGTAGCCATGAGAAAGGTAGCCTTATACTTGCCACTTCCTAGCATGTCGAATGAAAATCATCTTGACAAGGGCGAAGCTGTTTGTGTGATGTTAAAAGAGGAGAAAATTAAAACACTTAGCACGATTCTGCATGTCACACACTATCTGTATATTAAGTGGACTGAGACAAAAGAGAGAGATATAATTTATCTTTTTACAGACTGGCTGCTACTGGTGTGTACACCAACCAGCCTGCTTTGTCCATCCACGCAGTCCCTGCCCACCCCGTGTGCCCGCTGTGCCCCAGGGTGTCACAAGATGTGTTGCATGAGGATAACGGTGAAGACTGCAACAGCCCCAGGAGGCACCTCAGCCTCTCCCACTACAGCAGGGAGGGATGAGGTGCAACCCCATCTCCCGTAAGAAGATGGGTCACTTTGGGATTGGCCAAGGGGAGATGTGTCAGCAGGAATAAGTGCACGTCCCACCTGCCAGTAGTGGTATAAGCCCAGGGCGTTTGTCCCAAGTGGCATTCCCTGATCCCAAGGGCATCAGGACAGGAGTCATTCCTGTTGGGTTTGTTAGTGCTTGAACACCAAGACCTTCATCAGGTAGGTAAGTGTGGGGTCTATTCCTGGGCACCTCTCTCTTTCTATTGCATCTCTCTTGTTGGCTTCTGAAGCTTTCTAAATGACACTGCTGGAAGTATCCATGCATATCCTGAGGCCATCTGAGCTTTCCAAGAAGGAGCACTAATTGTCTGTATGAGTAAGTGAGCATCAGAACTCACAGCTATCTAAAAGCAAAACTGGGTTCCCTGACTTCAACTGGGACTGGAAATGTGTCTTGAGGCTTGAAGGTCCCTGGCAACTGGGGCACATGGTGACTGTCCTGGGCAAAGGAGGGAGATGCTATTGATACAGCAATACAGAGATTTTCCATTCTTTCAGGCTTATGTTAACTTGGAATGTGGATTTTTATTGCTCATTCTGTTCATTCACCAGGAGCCTCCCTCACCAAGTGCTGGCATCTCTACATACAAGCATTCACCTCAACTCCTGAATGTGGGTCAGTTCTTGACCCCCAGTTTTACTGTTGGCATTGCCATTGAGTGTTGTCAGGAGCATCTCCTGATAGTCAAACTGTCTCTTTTTGGGTTCTTTGGTAAGAAGAGGCAGAATTATGAGGGTAAATGCACTAGCAATGCAGCTGGTCTGGTAACTACATTTGAAAGTCTGTCCTGGCTCACCCGTGGCTCTGTTTCTCCACAAACATATTTAGTAATCATCAAGAGATAAGTATTGGATACATATTACCTGAGGGAGTACAACTTAAAAAGGGAAATATTCTGCATTTTCCACAACTTTAAATATTGTTTTCCTTACAAGTGCACTGGTCAGGAATTGCTTCTCCCATGTGTCCTTTAAGAAAATACAAAGAGAAAAGTGAGCAATAAGGTGATGGAACAACATCAGCTGGATTGCCCAACAGGCCAATACTTCCCCAGCTGCTGTCAGCAGAGCCAAAAGGCACATGCATGAAAGGCATCCTTCAGAACAGGCCACAGTAAACATCATCCTGTTACCCGGGACAGCCCCTCTGCAATGTGGGATCTTGCTGTGCGCTGTCATCCCCAGGAGCTTTGGTGTCTCCCCTCAGCAGCCCTGTGAAGACTGGGGACAGGCGTCAGCCATGAAGGTCCTGTACCTGCTCTTTCCCCTCTTGCTCCTGTTGGTCCAGGGTACTGCAGGTGAGAGGGGATGAGGGGAGATGGGGTGGGCTGTGAGCCCCCATCGGTGGGGTCCTCCATGTCCTGGGAAGTGACCACCTCTGTCAGAGACCAGGTGGCCAATGGTTCTGTGCTTGCCTTTTAGACACCTGGGTATTGAAGTTGTGGCTGTGGTGATGCTGAATTAGAGACTGTGTACTGCCCTGAAATGCATGGGGAGCGTCAGCCCTTCTGCCACCACACACCACTCTCCCAGATTGTCACTTTAATGGTTTCATGTGTATTGTTCCCATGGAAACAGGAAACCGGATGAGGTGCAGAGAGAAAAGGGGATACTGCGCTTTTGGACGCTGCCGTTACCCTGCAGTAACTATTGGATTGTGTTCAAGATCTGAAGTATGCTGCAAAAGGTATGGTGTAGATCCCTGGTTGAGGAAAGGGTTTTCTCCTATGTCCACGGAAATATCTGTCAAAGATTTCTTTCTAACCTATCTATGGCATATACTGTACTTTAAACATTTATACATATATGTATACCTATATACATTTATGTTTTGAGGAGGAGGCCCAAAAATGAAGGGAAAAGCCCTGGTGGGTTTGGACCTGCCCTGGGTGGTGCTGAAGGAGCCAAGGTCACCCAGCACCTCCCCACTCTCCTTCAACTCCATGAGACTCATTTGGGCTTTGCAGAAAGCTCTCCCAAGTCTGCAGAGAGTGAAACATTCACTGTCCTTAGGCAGCATGATCCTGGGTTTGCTGCATCTGCACAGAGCTGGAGTTAGGGCTGCCTACACTAAGATAAAATGGGTCCAAACTCTGTAGCAAGGGCTGAACCTTGCCTCTGTTGAGTCTGATCCTCCCGCACCATAGGCTTGCTTGTCTGGGCAGGAGAGGTGGAAGATACAAGCAAGTTACAGTGGGTGACATGCTTTTATGCTTTCTTTGTAGTGTCTGGAGCTGAGCCCCTGAACCCCATGAGCAGGACGTCCCCCTCGCTTCTGGCTCCTGGCACCACCTCCTGACGTCCTCTCCGCTCCCCACCTCTGCCGTCCCCAGGGGCTGTGACAGCAGCAGTGGAAGCACTGCTCCCGCTGGGTGCCCGTGTGCTGGGGACATCCCAACACGGAGCCGGTGCTGCTGGGGCAGAGGCTGCTTTTCCCGGCTTGAATAAAGACGAGCAGTTTGGCATTGCAGCGGGTGGGACATGTGCCTGTTCTTGTGGCGCAGGGTGTGCTGTGCTGGCTCACTATGGGGTGGTGTCGTGGTTGAAGACCAGCCCGTAACTCAGAACCACGCAGCTGCATGCTCCCAGAGGGATGGGGAGAAGAGTCAAAAGAATGTAAATCCCATGGGTTGAGATAAGAACAGTCCAGTAAATTAGGTATAACACAAACCACTGCTGCTACCACCAATAATAATATTGATAAGCAAACCAACAAGGGAAGAAATATAAAACTAAAAGGGGAAAAGGAAAAGAAAACAATAGACACAACTGATGCACAAAACAATTGCTCACCACCTGCCAACCCAGCAGTGATCTGGGCCTTCCAGGTGATTCCCCCCAGTTTCTATGTTGGGCACGACATGCTGTGGTATGGAATACCCCTTTGGCTAGTTTGGGTTAAGTGTCCTGTCTCTGCTTCCTCCTGGCTTTCTGTGCCCTTCCTCACTGGCAGAGCATGAAAGACTGAAAAGCCCTTGATCAGGGTAAGCATTACTGAGCAACAACTAAAACATCAGTGTGTTAGCAGCACTATTCCCAGTCTAAAGTCAAATACACAGCACTGCACCAGCTGCCAAGAAGGAGGAAAATAACTGTTAGGGCTGAAACCAGGATGTGTGGTGCTGGGTTGGAGCAGGGTAAAGTGCCTGGGGATGCTGGGGCTGTCTTTGTGGATGCTCTTTCCTGGCAGTGATGTGGGGATGCTCTTGGCCTGGCAGTCCTGTAGGCAGGGTGGTTGCTGTGGATGTGATAAAGCTGCTGTGCAGATTCTCCCTCCTGGGAGTGGAGCCCTGTTGTGGCTCTGCTGGCCATGAGTGCCCCTTGTCCCTATCAGCCATGGCTTCATGTGCAGGGCTGTGCTGGGTGTGTGTCCCTTGGGGGTCATGGCCAGGGTTGCCCACTCTACCTGTCCTGAGGCCCTGTTGCTTCTCCTTGTCCTTGCTGTGTGCTGTGTTGGAACAGTGCTGCTCTGCACCCCATTCCACCAAGCAGGAGGAGGAATACACATGGGAGCAACTAGTGATTCTGGCTTCTTCAGTGAAGGCTTTCCTTTCTAAGATGACAAAGCCTTTGCTGTTATTGCTTTCCTGAACTGAGAGTTCAGTGGGGGATGCTGAGATCACCCCTGCCTGCTGTGGCCTTTCCTTCACCTGTGTTCACCTCTCATTGAGCCTGCAGCAGGCACCACCTCACCCTTCATCTCTGCAGTGCAAAGCACCAGGGGATCCTTGGCACAAAACATCTTGAACCAGACTGATGGTGGTGTGAGCAGCCACACCTCATGAGTGTCACCTCCTGACGCAGAGAGGAAAGGAAGGGAAAGAGGACAAAAAAGAGAAGGAATGTCTTTTATCTAGAATACAGGAACTTTGATCTTCACTGTCATGTGCTGGATGACTGATTTCGTGGTAGTGAGTTGAGAGATGGGCATCATTCATCACCTGATACAGGTGTATTCTTGCAGCAGTTAATGTGTTATTTCTGAACCCAGAAACCTCCTTGAACTCAAGTGAGAGGTAAAGCTTTCCTCAGAGTGTATGAATGTGAGCAGGTTTCCAATATCCAGCATGATCTTGCACTTGTCAAGCTCTCTGATTATTCGTATCATCACAAAACAAGAGGATCGAAGAATAAAACCTTTTCCTCATTACTGCTGTACCTTGCAGCAACCAGCCTGCTTTGTCCATCCACGCAGTCCATGCCCACCCCGTGTGCCCGCTGTGCCACAGGGTGTCACAAGATGTGTTGCATGAGGATAACGGTGAAGACTGCAACAGCCTCTGCCATTGCAGCAGGAAGGGACAAGGTGCAACCCCATCTCCCGTAAGAAGATGGGTCACTTTGGGATTGGCCAAGGGGAGATGTGTCAGCAGGAATAAGTGCACGTCCCACCTGCCAGTAGTGGTATAAGCCCAGGGCGTTTGTCCCAAGTGGCATTCCCTGATCCCAAGGGCATCAGGACAGGAGTCATTCCTGTTGGGTTTGTTAGTGCTTGAACACCAAGACCTTCATCAGGTAGGTAAGTGTGGGGTCTATTCCTGGGCACCTCTCTCATCAGCTCCTGAAGCTTTCTAAATGACACTGCTGAAAGTATCCATGTGTATCCTGAGGCCATCTGAGCCTTCCAAGAAGGAGCACGAATTGTCTGTATGAGTCAGTGATTATCAGAATATCTTTAAATATCGTTTTCCTTACAAGTGCAATAGTCAGGCATTACTTTTCTCATGTGTCCTTTAAGAAGATACAGAGAGAAAAGTGAGCAATAAGGTGATGGAACAACATCAGCTGGATTGCCCAACAGGCCAATACTTCCCCAGCTGCTGTCAGCAGAGCCAAAAGGCACATATCTGAAAGGCATCCTTCAGAACAGGCCACAGTAAACATCATCCTCTGTTACCCGGGACAGCCCCTCTGCAATGTGGGATCTTGCTGTGCGCTGTCATCCCCAGGAGCTTTGGTGTCTCCCCTCAGCAGCCCTGTGAAGACTGGGGACAGGCGTCAGCCATGAAGGTCCTGTACCTGCTCTTTCCCCTCTTGCTCCTGTTGGTCCAGGGTGCTGCAGGTGAGAGGGGATGAGGGGAGATGGGGTGGGCTGTGAGCCCCCATCGGTGGGGTCCCCCATGTCCTGGGAAGTGACCACCTCTGTCAGAGACCAGGTGGCCAATGGTTCTGTGTTTGCCTTTTAGAGCTCGTGTGTGAAAAGCCATGCAATGGCATAGATCTGGGTGCATTTACAGTGGTCAGCATTTGCAATGGGTGTGGAAGACTCCAGCCCAGAGAAGGGGCTTGTCTGCTTCTTATCCTGAGTGCCCCAAAGCCCTGTTCCCACCATGCATGAGCCCTGCAAGGGCTGGGCAAGGGTTTTCCATCACAGGTCACTCAGAGGCAAGGCACAGCCAGGACAGGGATGTGGGATGCCAGGACCACCCGGCTTGCCAGCTCTCCTGGTTCAGGTAGTGGTGGACATGCAGGGGGCTCACATGCAGTGGGGGAGCCAGCACGGCTCCTCCTCAGCCTCATGCTGGTGCTGCTCAGTGCCTGCTCTCGTGTGCACCCACACTGGTGTAAAAGAGCCCTTGCAGGTGAGACACCTGGGTATTGAAGTTGTGGCCGTGGTGATGCTGAATTAGAGACTGTATATTGCCCTGAAATGCATGGGGAGTGTCAGCCCTTCTGCCACCACACACCACTCTCCCAGATTATTGTTCTGACTGTTTCTCTGTACATGATTTTCTATAGCACTGGGAAAAGAAGAGAAATGCCTGCGAAAAAAGGGAGCCTGCTTTATTGGGGGCTGCCGTTTCCCCTATAAATATGTGGGAAATTGTTCAGCATTCAGTCACTGCTGCAAATTGTAAGTCCTGGAAACGGTTTGCTCTATTTGTTCTATTATTATTGTCTTCCAAGCCAGCTCCTGGTTCACGTGCTCATATATTCATACTCATGGCAAAAAACAGGGAAACAAGGGAGAATTCCTTGTGGACTTGGACATGCCTGCTGGGGGACTGAAGGTGTCCAAGGGCAGCTGGTGCCTCCTCTTCTTCACCCCCACAATTCTTGCCCACTGCCAGTATAGAAAGCTCAGCTGTGTTGTCTGAACAAGCAGACTGTCCTCTGGGCAGCGTGAGGAACAGGGTCCTCCTCCTCATGGCTCTAAAGACCTGTGGTGCCAAGGCTGCCTCCAGTGAGGAGAGCACAGGCCCAAGCCAAACGAAATGACAGGTTTACACCTGTGAGGTTCTTACCTCTATGCACTTCCTAGTCATAAGAGTGGAGGTGGGAGAGAGAGGCAGGTAGAAGCAAGTTACAGTGGGTGATGTGCTTGCGTGCTTTCTCCATACAGGATCTGGGGCTGAGCCCCTGAACCCCATGAGCAGGACGTCCCCCTCGCTTCTGGCTCCTGGCTCCTGATGTCACCTCCTCTCCCCACCTCTGCCGCCCCCAGGGGCTGTAGCAGTGGAAGCACTGCTCCTGCTGGGTGCCCGTGTGCTGGGGACATCCCAACACGGAGCCGGTGCTGCTGGGGCAGAGGCTGCTCTTCCTGGCTTGAATAAAGACGAGCAGTTTGGCATTGCAGCGGGTGGGACGTGTGCCTGTTCTTGTGGCGCAGGGTGTGCTGTGCTGGCTCGCTATGGGGTGCCAGTGGGGTGGTGGCAGGAGAAGCCCCTGGGGATGCTGGGGATCACTACTGGGTCTGTCCCCAGGGAGGTGCTTGCTTGGGGCCCTGGAACTGCTGGGCTGCCAGCAGTGCTGGTGGGAGGTGCTGGAGGATTCTGGGGGTCCCTGCAGCCCCAGTAGCAGGTCCCAGGCAGGGCAACACAGTAATGTCAACCCAGGGGTGTACCCATGTCCCCAGGCTGCATATTGCCTCTTTCTCCGACAGCAAAGGGAAATTTTCCAATAGAAATCAGAGTTCATTTATGGCACCTGGCTGGGCAATACTCTCTACCATCCCTTAGCAGCCTCCAGAAGAGGCTCTCCAACAGGTCTTCTGGCACACTCCTGGCACAAGGTGGGACTCTGAGGGTGGAAGCAGGATCTGCCTTCCTCCTACCTCATCTCTAGCAGGGCTGTTTTCCCTAGTGCTGACTTGGAAAGACATAGTCCAGGAGATATGGAGATGGTGGCAAAACCTTATCCCTGCAGCATGAGAGCCTTTTACAAGGTCCAAGCTCCACCACCCCACTGCAAAACCTGCAGCAGACACCTTTCCTTATAGACACGGGGTGTGAGGCACCCCAGGGCACATGCCACAGCAACCAGGAGATGTTACATCTGGCTCATGATCTCAGTGGAGAAAAAATAAACACCTGCACCAAAAGATTTATCTTCCGTCTTGACTTTTTAAACCTGCATTGTGTCTACAAGGAAACTTCATTATATACTGGGAAACTTCACTGTAGCATCAGATAAATCCTACATTTTTCCATACACTTCATTGATTCACATCTTACGTGCTGTTCCTTGGAGCATCAGGAAGAGAGCTCAGAAAGACCAGTCAAACAGTCCCTTTTCCTGTTTACACCACCCACCCACACCCCTATCCTGAGAATAGGAGGCATCACTTTCTTCTTCTGATACCTCTGTGAAGGATTCCCAGGCCTCCAGCCCTGGGTCTCATGTCGTCCTGCCTTGCAGAAAGAGCCCTTCAGTGTTGTGGTTTGCTGTACACCTGGGGACACATGCACACACACATTCTGCATCCCTGCTCATTAGAAACCAGCACCAACTGCTGCCCTACCACAGACCACATCTTTTTCTGCTTCTCTTCAAGTAGCTCTCCGGTAAAACCCAAGGTCAGTCTTCTGGGCAGGTGGGCCCTCTGCTTCTTCCACCTTTTGTGTGTTTCTTATCTTGCCACTGTGACTTGACACCTCAATGGCATGCAAGGAGAAAGGCCAAGAGGCCAGGATCCACTAACAAAATCCCCAACGTGTAACCTCTTGGAGCTGGGGAGACCAAATTTCTCTTACAAACACCTTCAGAGGCAGTTGCCAAGTCAGGCATGCATTACAGCAGCCTTCTGCCTAGCAAGGACTGTCTCTTCTCCAGTTGCATGTGCGGCATCAGATGCATTGGATCCTCAAGCAGGGCCTATATCCCTATTTCTTCACCTTGGATAGCTTTAGGAGGAGATGCAGGTTTGTTGGATCATCTGTTTTACAGACCTTAACGTGTATCTTGCTGCTACTCTCACTTTATCTAAATAATCACTAGAGAGACAGTGTTATGCTTATCAACTTTGATGTGTCAGGTACACAGACATCTTGTCCCAGAAGAAGGTGTTCCTGCAGTGTCTAAAGGTGGGAGGGCTTTCAATACTGTGTGTGTTCTTGCACATCACACACTACCTGATTATACAATCAGATGAGAAGAGACAAAGTAGCACTCCCTTCTTCTGGGGCTGATGCGCTGTCTGCATCAACCTGTTACTTGGTCCATCCCAAAGATTTCTCATCAAGCCACCACAGGCGCTGTGCTCACTGTGCCATAGGGTGTCACAAGATGTGTTGCATGAGGATAACGGCGAAGATTGCGACAGCCCCAGGAGGCACCTCAGCGTCTCCCACTGCAGCAGGGAGGAACGAGGTTCAACCACATCACCCTCGCACAGAGGGAAGCTTTGGGATTGGCCAAGGGGAGATGTGTCAGCAGGAATATGTGCAAGTCCCACCCACTGGCAGCAGTGTAAAACCAGGGTGTTTTGGGCAAAGTGATACTCCCTAATACTTCTGGGTGCAAGTGATTCCTGGTGGATTGTTTCAGCCTGTTGCTTCCTTGGTGGGCTCTGAATCAAGACCTTCATCAGGTAGGTGACTGTGGAGTCTTTTCCAAGCTGGCCACACATTCAGCTCCTCTGTGCACATCCATCTTCCCAGAGCTGTCTACATGACAAACTGATCATAAACAAGTGTCAGAGCTGCATGGGAAAGAGAATAAAACCCCCTCATATGAGGAGGGACCTGAGATCTGTGAAAATGGGGACTTTCCTCAGCAGTAGGAGATCTCTCATAATTTCAAGTTTTCAGTTGACTCAAAAGTTATCTGATTCCATTTCTGGCCACCAACACACTTCCCTGTCCCCTTGCTTCTCCCTGGGTCTGTGCTGCACAGGTCAGGGACAGTGAGTGTGGAGCTGGAGAGTGTCCTTGCGGAAAGCTTGGGAATGGTCTTGAGTTGAGGATGGGCACTTCCAAGCTGAGCTGGGAGGACTTTCCTGAGCCCAGGGAAGCAGTGGTGATTGGGCAGGGTGTTTTGGGCAGCCAAGTCTGGACTGACAGAAGTGATGGAGAGTGCTGGCGAATGCATGGATTCTCCAGGCACATGCATTTCCCTACGTTCTGGAGTCTGGTTTTGTTATTGGCGTGGTACTGAGTGCTGGCACAATATCACCTCATGGGCAAACCTTCTCTGCTCTGGCATTTATTAAGAAGAGGCAGAAGAGAGAGAGCAAATGCCCTAGTGCCCATCCTGGTCTGTGTTGTGAGGTGTATTTTGTGTCACCCCTTGACCCTGTCTCTCTGGAAAATTCTGCCCAGGGGACAAATACATGCCCTGCAAAAGTGAGGGACTATAACATATATTAAAAAAAAAAAAAAAAGTGTTCTTTTTCCTTATAATCTGAGTTTCAGTGAATGTTGTTTTGAGTAAAATGGCAAATACTAGCCATCAACCAATGCCTTGAGAAAAACATCAGGAACTGATGAAGAAGATGAAACTTTGGATTGTCCAACAGGCTGGTGCTTCCCAAAATGCTCCAAGAATACACGAGAAGTTGCAGTTATTGGTACCATTATTCTCTCTTTTTGTTGGAGATTGTGCTTCTGCTTTTTGGGTGACCATATGCACCCAGCCTTGTCCATGTCCTTTCTTTGTTGTTTTGATGTGTCCCCTCTGCAGCCCTCTGAAGACCCGACCGAGGCATCAGCCATGCGGATCCTGTACCTGCTCTTCCCCTTATTCCTCCTGTTGGCTCAGGGTGCTGCAGGTGAGAGTGGAAGAGAGGAGATGGGATGGAATGTGAGCTCCCATCAGTGGGGTCTTGGGAAGTAACCGGATTTGTCATATACATATAACATTTGGGAGGGAGTAACTCAAATGAATGGTTGGGCAGCTGAGGAGCCAGCACAGCAGTTGCTGTACCTCACACTGGTCTTTCCCTATGAGTTTCCATGCATGTGTACATGCTGCTGCAGAACATAACCTCCTACTGGGGAGGTAAAGATGTTGGTTTTGGTGGCCGGTGCATGTAGGATACTGAGACACAGTGGCAGTATCAGGCCCTCTGGAACCATGCACATATTTTGGTCATCTCATACTCACGTTTTTTGACCTCTTTCACTGTGCAGGATCCTCCCTGGCTCCAGGAAACAAGGCACAATGTCTTCGACAAAAAGGCTTCTGTGCAGTTTTTAAGTGCCCCTTCCCCTATGTCATCAGTGGACTTTGTACAAAGTTCTCATTTTGCTGCAAGAAGTAAGTTGTGTTATTAGAAATGCTGATGTGATGGCAGGAAGAGTCACTGGTGTGTTTAAGCACTATGACTAGATAACAGCACAGTGCTGCACATGCATATAAAGCACAGCCCGAGGGAGAAAAAGAAAGATGCTTGGACCTGCCCTGAGTGGTGCTGAAGGAGCCCAAGGTCACCCAGCACCTCCTCACTCTCCTTCAGCTACATGAGACTCATGCAGGCTTTGGAGGAAACTCTCCCAAGCTAGGAAAGAGTGAAGCATTCACTGTCCTTAGACAGCATGACCCTGGGTTTGCTGCATCTGCATAGAGCTGGAGTTAGAGCTGCCTACACTAAGATAACACTGGTCCAAACTCTGCAGCAAGGACTGAACCTCACCTCTGTTGAGTCTGGTTCTCTTGCACCATAGGCTTGGTTGTCTGGGCAGGAGAGGTGGGAGAGAGTGAGAGGGAAAGTAAGTTATGAGGGGCGACGTGCTTGTGTGCTTTCTCCATACAGGATGTGGGGCTGAGCCCCTGAACCCCATGAGCAGGACGTCCCCCTCGCTTCTGGCTCCTGGCTCCTGATGTCATCTCCTCTCCCCACCTCTGCCGCCCCCAGGGGCTGTGACAGCAGCAGTGGAAGCACTGCTCCTGCTGGGTGCCCGTGTGCTGGGGACATCCCAACACGGAGCCGGTGCTGCTGGGGCAGAGGCTGCTTTTCCCGGCTTGAATAAAGACGAGCAGTTTGGCATTGCAGCGGGTGGGACGTGTGCCTGTTCTTGTGGTGCAGGGTGTGCTGTGCTGGCTCGCTATGGGGTGCCAGTGGGATGGTGGCAGGAGAAGCCCCTGGGGATGCTGGGGATCACTACCGGGTCTGTCCTGGAGGATGCTCTTGCCTGGCAGTGATGTGGGGATGATCTTGGCCTGGCAGTCCTGCGGGCAGGGTGTTTGATGTGGATAAAGCTATTGTGTGTATTTATGACCCTGTTAGCTGTGGCTTCATGTTCAGGACGGTGCTGGGTGTGTGTCTCTTGGGCAGGCATGGCCAGCGTTGCCCCTGAACCTATCCCAAGTGTCCCTGCTCAGCTCCATCCCTGCTGGCAGCTTCACAGCAGCAGCACCTCTACTAGCCCACAGCCTGTCTCCCTGGCACATCCCTCTTGGAGGGGCCTGATCGCACAGACAACCCCCAAGGAGACTTTTACAAGGCCTTGGAGGGAAGTAGGTCCTCCAGACTGACTGTCCATCTCCTCCTCAAGGTTCATCTCCTCTCCAATGGGTTCCATTGGCCACAACCTGGAAATGTCCGTAAGTGTAGTCTAGCAGCAAGAAAGCAAGGTGTCTTCTTCTCTTTGCCTGACTCAGACAAACAGGGATTGCAACATGGTTCTTCATCAACAGCCTTAACCTTTCATCAGGTGCAGACCTCTGTCCTCTATAGTTAAATATATATGTGTGTCTATGCACATGTGAGTACGTCAGCAAGTAGTGAATCATGTCCATTTCAAGGAGGCAGATCACCCACAGCAGTCCATCCCTGACTTATAGAATCATCGAATCCCAGACTGGTTTCAGTTGGAAGGGACCTTAAAACGCATCCAATTCCAACCCCCTGCCATGGGCAGGGGCACCTTCCACTAGACCAGGTTTCTCCAAGCCCCATCCAAGCTGGCCTTGAACACTGCCAGGGCTGGGGCAGCCACAGCTTCGCTGGGCAATCTGTGCCAGGTCCTCATCACCCTCACAGTAAAGAACTTCCTTATATCTAACCTGAACTTCCCCTGTTTAAGTTTTAACCCATTACCCCTTTCCTATCACTACAGTCCCTGTTGAAGAGGGGGACTCCAGCACCCTTGTAGGCCCCCTTCAGATACTGGAAGGCTGCTATGAGGTCTCCATGCAGCCATCTCACCACCACCTCACCATCTACTGCTTCCCCTCTAGACACGCAGCCCATCCCAGAGCCATGGGGCTGATGCACCTTTGCCCTGGTCCTGGAGCTGCAGGTCCCAGCTGCATTCAGTGTAACCCAGTCTCCTATGATATCAGTTCCTGTGGGAGGGTTGTAGGAGTCAGAGGAGATCTGTACAGCTCCAAGAGCTGTGTCCACATCAGCAAGGGTCTATCCCCATATCCACCAGCAGCTCCCACCCTTCTGTTTACATCCTGTGCACAACACAGCAGGTTCCCACTGGCTTTCCAGGATCGTTTCCTTCACGTTCATTCATGTATCATGTAACTGAACATTTAGCGGTCACCATGAACACCCCTTATCTCAGCAGTGTGAAGCTGTCCCACTGTCCCATGGGCCCCTTTGCCCAGGACATCTTGAACAAGACTGATGGTGTTGTGGAAAGTCACCCCAAGAGTTTAATACAGTAAAGAAAGAGGAAAAAGAGCAAGAAAATGAGAAAAATCTATTAATAAATAGATATTTTCTGTTACCGATGATCTGACATGACTTACATGGAACCAGTGAACTGGAGATGCTGCTGACATAGGTGTGCATTTGACCATCAGCTCATACATGTGTGCAACAATCAGTATGCTGTTTCCAAAACGTCTGATGAAGCTTCAAACAAAAGCAGAGATAAAATCCTTTTTATCATTCTGACAGGTAAGAAGCTTTATAATACTCCTCATGTTCTTCTACATCCCATGTAGATTATTTTGTCAGATTGGAGGAGACAGATAAGTAGGGAAACCTTATCTGCATTTTGATGACTGGTTGCCGCTGTCTGTACCTACCAAAGTCCATGCTGAGACACCAAGCCCATGTGCTCACTGTGCAGCGGGATGTCACAAGATGTGTTGCATGAGGATAACGGTGAAGATTGCATCAACCCTAGGAGGCACCTCAGACTCTCCCATTGCCACGATGAAGGATGAGGTGAAGCCATCACCCCCATGCACATGGGTCACTTGCTGATAGGCCAAGGGGAGATGTGGCCATGGAATAAGCATGTCTCACTCACTAGCACTGGTATAAAACCAGGGTGTTTTGGCCAAAGTGGTATTCCCTGAACGCAAAGGCATCTGGAAGCAAGTGATTCCTGATGGATTTGTTGCTGCCTGAAGACCAAGACTTTCCCTCATAAGGCAAGTGACTGTGGGGCCTCTCAGGCTGAATACCCATTCAGTCCATCACACTGGGACCATCTAAATGACAAACTATTGTATATATCTATTCACATAATGCCATCTGTGCTTTTTGGGGAAATAAAGGAAATTGAAAAAGTGAATTTTCATTGGAGCTCGTAATCTGCTGAACCTGGTTGCAGGGTTTCCCCAGCACAGGAGAGATTGGAAAGGTTCTGTGGTTGTTTGAAGATGGACACCACGAGACTGTATTCTGGTGAATACAATTTGTAATTGTATTGGGGAACTTCGTAATTTAAAGAATGGAGCCACTTTACATGCAGCAGTACAGAGAATTTCCATTCTGTCAGCCTTCAGACAAGTTGAAAGTTCATGTTTTCCTGATCTCTTTGGCCACTGACACACTTCTCTCCTTTCTTTCTCCTAACTGGGGAGCTGCTGCACTACCCTGTAACCATAATTTTCCTTTTGCTTTTGCATTTACATTGGCACAAGCACCTGCAAAGCACTCAAACGTTCTTTGCTTTGGCCTTTGGCAAGGAGATGAAGAAGCAAGAGAGCACAGGCACTAGGCATGACCCTTATCTGATGAGCATACTTGAATGCATACCTAGTCTATCCCTTCCATTCTGTCTCTCTAGGAACATATTTAGGTCTGTTTCAGAGACAGGTGAGCGGTGTGTAAGGCCCAAGGTACTCCTAAAGGTAAATTTTCTGACTGCTCTCTAAGTAGCACCAGCTGCTTTTTCACTTAAAACAGCCTGAATTACCAGACATAAAATCTGCAGTCTGTGCTTGAGACAGCATATAAGGAAGATACCTGAAGAAGGTACTGCCTTGCCTAGAACTTCCTGAACTACTGGCAGGCTATTCATGAAGTTGCAGAGGTGGCCGTTGTTTTTGTGAATATGCTACAGACAGCACCATCTTTTTTCATTCAGGATAACAGATCTGCAGTTCGGTATATACCACTGTGCACAAGCTCCTGCACCATTTGAGGTCTCTCGTGCCCTTGTTGGCTTTGTGTCTCCACTCTGCACACCTCTAAAGACCTGGGCAAGGCATCAGCTGTGAAGATCCTGTCCCTGCTCTTCTCCTTCTTCCTCCTGTTGATCCAGGGGGCTGCAGGTGAGAGTGGAAGAGGGTAGATGCGTGATCCATGTCCTAGTAGGTGACCGTACATTTTAGAGATGCTCAAAGGAGAGGAAAGTTTTGTGGCTTTGCTCCAACATTAAAAGTCATGCAATGGAATATACCAAAGGATGCTGTTACAATGCCCCTTCCTCTGAGAGCTAGAGGGGCTGGTGTGGAGAAAGCCATTCAGGAATAAGAGCTTGGCTTTATGGAATAACTTCTCCTTCTGCAGGGACAGTGGGAGGATGAAAAATATCCCTTTGTCCCACAAACAGCCCTGTGCCTCAGGGCTTTAGCTGATGGTCCTTCTAGGTAGTTAGCTTGCTATTGAAGGTGCAGTTGTGGTCATTTTCATACTTGGCCCACAAAGTGGGTTGAAATCCTAGTGGAGTGCCAGCCCTTCTAGAATTACAGAATGTGCTCCCAAATTATCTTTCCCTTTCAGTTGTCTCTCCCTGCAGGTACATCTCTGGTTCCAGGAAATGAATGGTGATGTAAGCACAAAGGGGGATTCTGTAGGTCTTTGACATGACATCACCCTTATCACATCTATGGAAGGTGTACAAATTTGGTAGTTTGCTGCAAAAGATAAGTTCTGAAGTTAGACATTCGGAATTTGCCCTCTGCTATGTTTGCTGAAATAGATCTGCTGTTGTCTTCACATCCACACTGCTGGATAACACCCTCCTGCATTCATGTTAAGACGCAGAGGCCAGGGAAGGAGGGTTAAAATTCCTTTGTAAAGCTGCTTGAACCTGCCCGGTGTGGACTGAAGAAGCCCAAATTCAGCCAGCATCTTCCCATTCTCCCTTTCTCATGCTGTGAAAGTGAAGTGTGACCTTTGTATAGCGAGGGGCACAGAACCATCTCAGTGAGGTTTCTGAAGAGCCTTGGGTTCAAGACTGCAACAACTAAGGAATGCACAGGTCCAAGTCAACTGAAATAAGGACTGGAGCTTATCTGAGGAAGGGTTGTCCAGTAATTCTTTACAGGTCCTTATAATAAAAGTGGCAGAGAGACTGGAGGAAGACAAAGAATGAACAGGGAAAATAAATATTGCTGACCACACATTGTGCTTTTTTTATGCAGGAAATAGCGGTGAATCCCTGGACTTCCCAAGCAGAACATCCCCCTTGCTTCTGGCTCCTGGAACCGTCTCCTGATGTCATATTCCCTTCCTGCCTCTGCTACCCCAAGGTGGTGTGACAGCAGGAGTGGAACCGCAGCTCCTGTTAGGTTCTCGTGAGCTGGAGATATCCTGCCATGGGTTTGGTGCTGCTTGGGCAAAGGCTGCTTTTCCCTATCTTCAATAAAGACATAGTTTCTCAGCATCACAGCATGGTTGAGTTTGGAAGGGACCTCTGGAGGTCATCTGGTCCATCCCCCCCCCCCCCGCTCAAGCAGTGACACCCAGAACCAGTTGCCCAGGACCATGTCCAGATGGCTGCTGAATATCTCCAAGGATGGAGACTCCATCACCTCTTTGGGCAAATTCTGCTAAGTGCTTGGTCACACGGTAAAAAAGTGGTTCCCAATGTTCAGAGGAGCCTGCTGCATTTCAGTGTGTGCCCATGGCCTCTGGTCCTGGCACCAGGCATCATTGGAAAAAGCCTGGATCTCTTCTCTTTGTACCCTTCCTTCAGGTATTTAAACATGTTAATAAATTTCCCCCTGAGCCTTCTATTCTCCAGGCTGAACAGACCCAGCTGTGTCAGCCTCTCCTCTTCTAGAAGAGATGCTCCAGTCCACCCCGGTGGCCTTTGCTGAACTCTCTCCAGTATGTCTGTGTCTGGTTTGGATGAGGAGCTCAGAACTGGACATACAATGCTCCAACTGTGGCTTGTGAGTGCTGGGTAGAGGGGAAAGATCACGTCCTTGGCAATGCTTGGTCGAATTCAGCCCAGGATACCTTCAGCATAGCCCACTTTGCTGCAAGGGCCTGTTGCTGACTTATGTTTAGCCTGGTGCCCACCAGCACATTCAGGTCCTATCCTGCAAAGCTGCTTTTTAGCTGGGTGACCCCAGCATGTATGGCTGCATGGGGTTGTTCCTCCCTAGGTACGAGACATCGCATTTCTCCATGTTGGGCTGCATGAGGTTCCTGTCAGCCCTGTTGAAGTCCCTCTGGGTAGCAACACAGCTCCCTGGTGCATCACCCATTCGTCCCGGTTTGGTGCCACCTGCAAGCTTCTTGAGGGTAACCTGTATCCAATATCCAGGGAAGAAACAGGATGCCTTCTCCTCTTTCCCCACCTGGAGCCCATACAAGACCAGGCCTGTTGCTCTTTGCTATCAGACACTAACCTCATCCCTTCTACAGGCCAACATACAGAGCTATGCTATAGCTGCAGGTGAACGTGTGTGTTTATATGTGCACAGGTCTGCACGTGACCACAGTACTTGTCAGGTAAGAGAAAGACCAGGCTGTTCTACAGGTAAATCTGGCTTCACAGCAATGAAGCAGCTCCAGGTTTAAACCAGGAGGGCAGGTAACAAGGTGTACAGCCAGGATCAAAGCTGGCAAACAGCTCAAGCAAGGGCAGGGAAAGGAAACTGAGCATAAAAGCAGCTCTCAGGTGATCTTTGGGAGACTCCTGCTTATCAAAGCTCTTTCTCATGCAGTGCTATTACTCAAGGCCATTTAGCAGCTCCATGTGAATCCTGACATCAAAACCAGCTAAACCTCTGAAAGCCCAAGTGCTGATGAGAGAAAGGGAGGTCCCTCCCTGCTGTGTGATGGGATGGGGCATGAAGCAGCATAGATCCCATCAGGGCATACAGCAGGGAGGGTTATGGTGTGCTAGAGCAAGACGAGGAGGAGCCCGGGGCCTCCAGTATAGGTACTGCCCACTCAAGGGACATTGAACAGCACAGACCTCCATAACCATCTGGTGCTGCTGGTGCCTGTGGCTGTCAGGAACAAGGACCAGGGCATGGGTGACATTTGGCTATTCGTAGCAAGCAATGTCCTGTATATTTTGTCAAGGTAAAAGTCAAGGCTTGAAAAGTATCAACAAGAAATTCTCCACTAGAATTGTAGAGAAACCTCAGCAGTCGGGGGCCAGCTACCCCCTGACTCCTGTATGTTGAGAAACAACGATGTTTCCTGTCCTTTACTTCCACAATGTGCACTTCATTCCCAACATAACCATAAAAGGTTACGTTGCCAGCAGTGCCACTCAAGATCATTTGCACAAGATCAGACAGAACTGCAGGAGGTAAGAGAGGGGTTGAGACAGAATATTTCAGTACCAGATATTATGTGACCTTTGAAGTACATACATGTATATGTATATAGCATATCTTCTACAGTATATACAGCATGCAACACATTTGGGGGGGGTGCCAATTCCTCTAACTTAATTTGCATGACTACAGGCACAGTGGTGGCTAGATTCCCATCATAGTCAATGGAGTCAGGAGAACCAACAGACTGGTGAAGATGGCTTCAGTTGCTTGAGTGTTGTCAGTAGTGCAGCTTCTAGCACTGTGTGACATTCTGCCTGGTCCCCACGTGCTGTTGTGGAAAAGTCAAGACTTCTTGCAAGTCATGAAATAGCTTTGTGGTACTTAGTTGCTAACTGGCCTTAATCATGACACAGAGGATTAGAAGCTGGCTGGGACACCTGAGGATAAGTTTGTTCCCTGCTAAGAAGTTCAAAAGAATAGTCATAGGATGTATGACTATTCATGCCCTATGCTGCCCTTTTGTCAGGCAAAAAAAATCCCCTCTTGAATATCATTTCATAAATGTGTGGATCTCAATGCAGAACTGAAGGGACTGTGCCGAATGGTGGAGGGACCTAATGAAGAGAGACCAGTTGTGGTGTCAGCTGGGACAGGGTTAATTTTCTTTCTGGTGTGTGTTTTGGCTTTAGTCTGAGAGCAATGCTGATAACACACCGATGTTTCAGTTGTTGCTCAGTAGCACTTACCCTGACCAAAGACTTTTCAGTCTCTCATGGTCTGCAAGAGAGGAGGGGTAAAAGAATCTGGGAGGGAGCACAGCCAGGGAGTGTTCCATGCCAGGAATGTCAGCATCAGAATAGAAACAGGGGGGAATTGCCCAGGAGTTGCCATGCACTGCTCGGGGATGGGCTGGGTATCAGTCATCAGGTGGTGAGCAGTTGTATTGTGCATCACTTGGGGTTTTCTGTTTTGGTTTATTGCACTGTTTGGTTTACTCCTCCCTCTCTCTTTTACTTCCTTTAATTATGTATTTACTGTGAGGGTGGTGAGGCCCTGCACAGGTTGCCCAGAGAAGCTGTGGATGCCCCATCCTTGGCAGCGTTGGACAAGGCTTGGAGCAGCATGGTCTAGATGGAGGATGTCTGGTGAAATGTGTTGTAACTAGATGATCTTTAAGGTCCCTTCCAATCCAAACCATTCTATGATTTGATGAAGATGATGATGAAGATGATTACTGTTATTATGCTTAACCTTATTTCAATTATTAAACTGTTCTTGTCTGAACCCATGTGCTTTACCTTTTTTTTTTTTACATTTACATTCTCTTCCCCATCCCATTGGAGGGGGGAAGGTAAATAAATGGCTTTGTGGTACTTAGTTGCTAGCTGGCCTTAAACCACGACACCAGTATAAGTTGTTCTCTATCTATTATCTCTTATGCTTCCTCTTAGCGTGGCAGGTGGGGGTTAAAAAAGCAAAGCTGACATCCATTGCTGTGAAATTACAGGATGAACAGCTTCTGGAGGGAAAAGAACTGGCTTAAATTGTTGCATTATTTTAAAGGAAAGATAATAGCACTACATCTTTCCTGGGATGCTCACAGGCATCTTCCAGAAGCCAGAATGTTATGTCTCAGACGCTGATGTTTTAATGGATGGTGGACGTCTGGGCTTTTAGCTATTTCTATTTCTCTTGCCCCAGGAAAAGTTTTCTGCATAGTAAGAAAAAAAGGATTTTGGCAGCTGAACACATTCTCACAGAAGGAAGCTGAGTTTTTCCACCCATCATATCTCTTGGTACTGGAGGGTAAGGCCTTCAGTCCATGTCTGTCTAGCCCTGGACATCGTATGTCTCAGAAAAGCTCAAGTTAAGGAGCAGATGGCACTATAAATTGTTGCCCTCTGTGGTCTGTATGTCAAAACCCAGGTAGGATCATCACCCTCAGCCCATGCAACAAAAACCCATGTTTCAGTGACGTGAATGCTAAGCAACAACAATTTATTTGAAACAGGAGAGAAAGCAATGAAGAATACATTTGGATTTACTTTACATCATAAAGCTTTTTTTGGATTAAAAATGAAAGGTGCATGAGGCTTCGTAGCAGGATTCAGTGGCAGTAAGGTGTTCAAACGAAATGCCTAGGTTTAGAAGGAATTCTCATCACTCTTGAATGGGTGGTCCATGAAGTTTTTATATATCCCATGGCCTGCACAAAGAAACATTAATAAAATTAGGTTCTCTTTCTGCTTGTATTGCCTCCTTACTTGCTCTCAGTCCATGCATATTTTCCTCTTGGGTATAAGTACTTTCCAAAATACATAATGTTGTGTGTAGCTGTGCTGGGGCAGCCCTGTGCACTCATGCCTGTGAGTAAGGAGAGGGTTTTCCTATCATTTCAGGGAAAGCAGGGAATTAAATTGGTATCCCTTTGTACTGGGGTGAATGCATTCATTCCTGAGTGAAAATAGAATGCTACATTTCATGTGATAATTTCTTTTTACCCCACTGTTGCACATTTTGCACACATTTGATGACACTCAGATACCTGTGCTCAGCCTGCACTGTGCTGAATTACCCTCTGCTGCCCATAGGGCACAGCAGTCCAGTTCTGCAAATACCAAACCCTGGTATTTTCCTCTGGCACAGGAGCTGAAAAGGGTTACACAGAGATGTGACAGCCCAAGGCTGACATCTCCAGCTGTACTTTATCACTCTCGCTGGGGCAGACCACGGTGCACTTCTTGGGAGAAAGAGAACCATGCATCTCAGCCTACGTCAAGGCCTGACTGTCCTCATAGCATGTTAGGTGTTTTTCCTCACTGAGCAATTTGAATGTTTCTTAGCACCTTGCAGTTAAAGACACAGGTAAAAGAGATTTGTCTGCTCATCCTGCAGATAAGTCTTGGTGAATGTCAAACTCACGATTTGCAGCAGGAACGGAACCCAAAGCAGTTTCCAACTTTAATCAGATGGATGGGGCATCTTCCAAAGTAACAGGACCCTTTTCTACAGAAAAACATGTCCCGCTGTGGTGAAGACAAACCTGCAACAATAAGATTTCCTTTCCTCTCATCCTGCAGGGCAGGGAAATGTAGTCATAATGCCAGAGGGTTTCCCATTCATTGAGCTGCCTTCACCACCAACTTGCCTAAAGACTGTTGCCTGGATTTGGCCGTGTTGAAAGGCTGTGTTTACAAAGTGAGTAAAGAGGTGAGTTTACAAAGCAGATCTACACCTTGTGGAGGTGGGATCATAAGGTCACAGTGCATCTAAATGAATGGCCCTTAAGTCTAGGTGGAGAATGATACAGACTCATGATCCTTTCTTTACCTTATAGGAAAGGGTCATGGTTCAAGAGGCTTTAGTACCAGCTTGTATCCCAGAATACTTGGTCAGGCTTTGTTTTCATCTGCATACACACTGCTGAGTGTGCTATTATTCGAAGATCATGGCCATCACAGACACCATGTCAGGCATCTTTCACTGGGCTACTTAACATGGTCTTTTTAGGGAGGTAGCAGAAGTGAAAAAACACTTTCATTCAGAAGTCATAATTTCTCCACGTTTGAAAGAGGTTTTATAAGAGAGCACAGGCACTGAGCTATGTGATAACTCCTGCTCAGTTTTGAGCAATTTTAACTGGTAGTGGTGCAAATGTGTTGGGGAGTTTACTTCAGGTACACAAAAATCCCCTTCTAGCATCTCTTTTTCATCTTACCTGGAGAAACTTGAAGTGCCAAGAACAGGAGAGATAAGAGCAGGTAAAGGATCTTCATGACTGCAGGTTTGCTCTGTCACTGCAGGGAGAAGGAGCAAGAAAGACATATGACAGGCAGTCCCCTGGGATCCACAATCTTCTGAAGTGTGTAAATACTGTATTAATCAAGATGGCATTTATATTACCTATTTGAAAAATCACCAGTAAGACCCATATGATATCATGACTGCTGTGTGAGCATTTCTGGGAAAAAGTAAATATGTATGGGGCAACATACTCTAGGGATATGTGATCATTAAATCATTATAATTGTTTGATTACTCAGATTTCTTTCACACTTTGCAAATAGTCCTAGCCCAAATGTAGTCATTATTTAAATTTAGGGTTTTTTTTAATCTAAGTGCTGTTTATAATAAGCAACACTAGCCAAAAAGAGGCATTTATACAGTCCCATTTGCAAACTTCAGGAAAAAAAAAAAAAAAAGCAGTATTAAAAGTTATCAAGAAATAGCAGCTAAAATCAACTCGCTCAGAATCTTCAGTCTTCATCTATAGGCAGCAATTTTAGAATGGAAATGTACAATCAAATCAGTTCCTATTTGACAAATGAAATTTGAAAAGCAACATGAAATAGAAATTAATAATTGAACTGATACCTGCAAAATGGGATAGGACAGTCAGGAAGTGGGCTTATGGATAAAGAAGTAGTTAATGTCATATAACTTAGCATTAGAGTATCTTCTGCTCTGTCACAAATTATGTTCTCTTAAGCAAGGAAAGGAAACAAGGTTGTGTTGAAATGTCATATTTCAGCAAGTGGCATGGCAGAGGGTGACCCAAACCAGCTTTGAAATTAGTATTAAAAGTTTATACAAATTTCTATGTATTTGAAAATATCAGGACAAAGAAGCAGGCAAAGTCAACAATTCTGAAAAAGTAATAAAGTTCTTAACATAGAGAAATAAAGAATATACACTGGACAGACCTCCCTACAGCAACCTGACCCAGCCAGATTTTTTCCTAGGAGTTTTAAAGTAGAGTATTGTTATCAAAGTATTTTAAGTATTAGCACATATTTGAATTACTTATTCAACCTGAGCAATTTCTGGAAAATTTAGATTAACTTTTTTAGTAACCTACAGATTTAGGTTAATAGTGCAGAGGTTTGGGGGTTTTGTGGGTTATTGGGTTTTCTTTTGGGTTTTGGGTTTGGTTCTTGTTTGTTTGTTTGTTTGTTTTAAGAAAAGTCTACAGCAGACATTGAAAGAAAGACTGAAAAGAAGTGAGAAGTTACCAGGTATCAGGTGAGCCCAGAAGCCAGTGAAGACCTGCTCTTGGTTCCTTCCCTCCAGAGGAATTTGGCTGTGGGCATGAGACCCTCCTTTATAATGTGTTTCCTAAGGGAAGTGACAGCTGCTTTCTCTTCTCAGCAAGTGCACATTGAGCCAATCAAAAAATTGCCCATTTTTTTTGTGACTTTCAATGCAACCAGAATCAAGCTGATTTCCATTTCCCAGTGAAAAGGCAGGGTTTCTGTCTGAACCTATTGAAGCTTCTTCAAAATCCCAGGTTATTCATGCAATGCCTCTTGTGACACTCCGGTTTGTGTAAGATACGTTAAGCCACCTTGGTATGTGTCAAACATCTTGGGATGTACGTTGAACTGTTCCTTCTTGGGAGCAACATAAGGCATTGCAGTACAAAACATCTGCATGCTCTCTGCACTCCCAGCTAGTTTATTTCCTGGATATATGAATAATGGTTATATGAAGCTAAACCAAACATCCATTGGTTTAGTGGCCAGCTGAGCATCTCTGCTTTTTCTGTCCTGGGAAGTAGCAAATAAATATTCCACTTTCATCTCTCTACATCACTACTGATGCTGTGGTCTTCTCCTGCAGTCTCCCTTGATTGTCTATTTTCCCACAATCAAAAGCAGAATTCTGTCAGCTACATCTAGCAGACAAGTCTTCTAACGGGTCAGCTATTTCAATGGATCATTCCTGTTGTACATGTATCTTATTTCTTTCAGTTCTGTTATGCCCTTTGGGGAATGTGCTGGCTAGAATTACATGTAATCTCCAAAATGCATCTTGGATTTGTACAGTGCCTAATCATAATTATTCTTTTAGTTTCAGCTCCCTTTCCCTGACTCAATTCCTACCATTTGCCTTGCCTTTTTGTTCACAGGTGAACAGTGACATTTCCAAAGTGATATCCACAGTGAAGTCTTAAATTGCATTAGTACAGTTTTGAAGTAACCCCATGATGGTCCCTTGTGGCTTCATGCTGGTTCGGTTTGCAGAGGGGTTTGTGTGTGTGCAAACTAGATTCCTTAGCAGGAAAGAGGACCAGTATTTTTGCTCTGAAGGTAGTCTGAAGGCACTCCAATACCTACTGTGGCATGAATCAACGTGTGGGCTATACCACCTTGAGGTCCTATAGTGTGTACATAACATTTCTTTTGGAAACCTAGAGGGTTTGGACTGTAGGATCAGCCACCTGAGGAGAGGCTGAAGGACCTGTCTTTGTTCAGCTTGAGCATGGTTAAAGTTAATGTTCACAACTACCTAATCCACACTCTTCTCAGAGGTACACAGTGGAAGGAGGAGGTAACAGAGGCAAATCACGATAAAAAATTCCAGTTAGATATGAGGAAAAAAAGCCCTCTCACAATGAGGGTTGTCAGAAACTGGAATAGGAGCCTGAAGAATTTATGGAGTCTTGATCCTCATAGAGATATTCAAACTCTAAGCAGCCTGGCCTATCATTGAAACTGGCTCTGTCTGAAGGGATGGAAGGACTGGGTGGTCTCCAAACAGCCATTCCAACTCAGATTGTTTTGTGGTTTATTCAATAGCAAAACCCAAGTCAAAATGAATCAATAAATGGATTCAATGAAAATTTGAGGAGCCTCAGCGCAATCTCTAACGTCTAGTGATCCTTTCCTACTTACTGATCTTCCATTGCACCAAGTTACTTGCTGACATACACAGTAACTATCCAATGTCACTAACACTAAATACTTTTTCAAATCATGTTTCACTTTATAAGTCACTCCAGTCAAAAAACATTGTTCATGAATACTTTAATACAACACCTGAAGTACATCATAATAGGTTATGATATGTTTGCTATTTTGAATGAGTAATTGACCAAGATCTCTGCAAATGACACCACATCTTACAGATCATTTACTATAAAAACTAAACTGAAATAATTAAATTCCTTTCTGGTTCCTCAGTTTAATTACTAGTGATATGATTGTTTCAACGCTTTGACATTAATTTCTTAACTATACAGAAGTGTTCATGTGTGCATACATGCACAGACACACATAGCTATAGATGCATGTGAAAACACGCCTACAAATGATTTCTCTCAAATGCATACCCTGGTAATTGGGATAACTTTTTATTTTCTGTGTATTTTTATCAGTGAACTGTTTTTTTTTCACTAGGAAAAAAGTGATGCTTAAATATCTGGTGTCTTCATGAGGTTCTGGCCATAAAGCAGAAAGCTGAGGGAATAAAATTGCAAAAGCTGCAGTTACTTCACAGCTTGCCAAGAGTTTGTGGTTAGTTCACCTACCAACTGCTACTGTTACTCAACCCGATTCCTCTAGGAAACAAAGATGCATCGTTAACTTTTACCCTGGGCAGGGCTCTGTGTAAGTATGTCAAGGACGTGGCTTTAATGCTGGGCATTCTTGACACCATTAATTATACACGGTAACTCCAATTGTTACCATCAAAGTACCTCTGCCTGAAACTGGGGAAGGGAGAAGCAAAGGAGGGATGGAGCACCTTTGACTGTCTAGAGCTCACTGTGGTAAAGGCAGGCCTTATCGAGGTTTTGGTTTGTGGCTTTCAGGGTAGATAACATCTCCATCCTCACCTACAGCTCCTGCTTTTATGAGCAGGGGACAGTCAGTGAGTTTTGAACATCAAGAGGGATATAGCAGTGTTTTGCCCTTCACAATCTGTGTTTTACTATAGTGTTTTTGCTGGTAGACCTGACTTACACCAGGATCACAGTAGCACCAGCTACACATTCCTTCACCTAGGGTACATGGGTAGAGCAGTGCATACAATCCAGTCCAGCTAACCTGGGCAGCACCTCACAATCATTTGGATCTTGACATTAGGTAAGTAATCCTCTCTGCACACACCACATCTACTTTCTTTGCTATTTTCAGTGCAGAGGGAAAGGGAGTTTTCATGGAGAGTTTCCTTTTGCTTAAATAACATGTTTATTTTCTTTTCTTGTTTTATCAAAGTCCAGAAGTGACCCAGCAACATTTCTCTCTACCTGCATGGCAAGTCTTCATTCCAACTTTTTCTAGCTGGACTTCACCAATGATGTCACACTCCCCCACACATTTCAGGTCCAGATCACACAGCTCTCTTTGGAGAAGGAGAAGCAGTATGATGGGACCAGAATTTTATGTAATGATGTAGTGCATAGAGCCCTGGCACGAGAACTGACAGGTGGATCCTGAACTGCTGCTCTGTCTGATGCTGTTGGATGAACTATAAGGGAGGCATCTTCACAAGGAGGCTGCAGAGTGTGGGAAGGAGAAATGGCTTTCACCTTTTTCAGATCAAAATAAAGGGTTACTCTGCCAAGATCACTTCACAGAAAGGAAGGAGGATCTTACCTCTGTCTTATGAGTCTGTATCTAGCATAGCAGATGAGGCAATGAGGAGGAAAAGGGGGAATCTCAAACTCTGCTGCTAATAGTTTACTGATGAAAAAAAAAATCAAAAACAAACCCAACAAAAAAAGCAGGAAATCTTAGGGAAGCCTTTCAGCAGTGTCTCCCCTATTTAAAATGCTACTGCACAGAATGCCTGTCTGCTGTTCCATCCCTCACCTCCAAAGGACAGTTTGTTCATGCCAATGAAGGCTCCAGGCATCTGGAAGTCATTGTATGAAGACATAGCTAGAACTTTGAGCACAACGATAAGCTGATCCCAAGCAGTTTACCAAAGAGCAGATGTTCAAGTGTGCTTTGAAGAGGAGCTTGGCTGAACAACAGTGACGGTTTGTGGCCAAGCCAGCCACAGGCTGCTCCTCAGTTATACTGTAGCATCATCCCTTACCCTCCTTTATGTGCACTAAACCAAATTCTATCTGTAAGACATAATCGATGCACAGGAGATCAAGGTGTTTTGATGGCACTGTGGAGTGTATAGTACAGAAACTCAGAGTCCTCTAGGTCAGCTGCCAAAGCTGTTAGTTGCAGTTCCACTGCTAAAGAGTACATCCACCAAAAGGAGGGTAACCAGTATTTCAATGCTGTTCTATAGTTGTAAATGAATTTGCAAGGCATGTACTGTTAGAATTAACAGATAAAGTTCTGAACCAAGGATAGATCATCTGAATCAATAACAAACGGATACAAAGTCATAAACCTCAAACAGTGCACAAAAAAAAACTTCAATCCAGCCCAAAATTAATGATTAAATTGTTACCTTGAGTAACGAGAGAGAAATGATGAAATTAACATCTGTATAAAAAAATCTGCCCTCCGCCTTGGTTTTGACTTGACAGCTAAATTGAAGGTGTCAGGGTACCAGCGCAGAGTCCAGCCTCTTGGTGTAAGGACCACACTGTGACTGGCAGACACGCAGTGCGCTCAAAGCTCCTTGGTACAGGCCATGTAGCCTAAAGTTTCTAGAAACCAAAGAATCTCTATAAACTGAATCACATTTTCTGGAGACAAATGCCAAATGGCAGGAGTCATCTCACCAAATTGTAGATGTCCTAAAGATAAATACCAAGCTGTTTTCATTGCTCTTCCTTTATAGTAAATGGAAAGGAACTGTTCTAATTTTTTATATGAGGTACACCGATTTTGGGAACTTTATGTGGTTTCCTGATCATAATAAACCCTCACAGTCCTTTCCTGCAACAGCAAGAAAGATGTTTTCTTTCTAACTTTCTTTATCCCCATCCTGCCAAGATGCCTGGTCTCTCTTCCTCTGGGACCTTCCCACTCTCCTGTGCTACCCCACCTCCTCTGGATGTACCTCTCCATGTGGCATAAAGCCTGCCTTTGCAACACAGTCGGTGATGCACGGATAAATGTTGCTGCTGTTCTGTAGATGTAAAGCTGAATTTCTGCTCTCTGGTTCCCTGAGCAGCATTAGCCCTCATATTTCAAGGGCTTTGGAAGCATACGGCAAGCACTCTTGTGTCTCCTCTGAGAGGTTGGTGGTCCCTGGGCTGGAGAAATGCATCCCAGCCACACTGCCCAGAGGGAACAGGGACAGCTCGCTCTGCACAAAGGACCAGCAGCAGCTGTGATTTCCAGGCAGGTTTTGGCCAAGTCAGATATGGGCAGGTTTCCATGGGTCTGGCCAAGGCCACTGAATGGACAGCAGGCCTGTTCCCTGGCTGGATTTCATGCAAATTGTGGACCTATGTGAGGACAAGCGTTGGGCAATTTTACCAAAGGTCTGTCATCCCTTCCTGTCATTTACACAGAGGACACTGGAGGAAGGGGATGGCAAGGAGAAAGTGAAAGATCCTTACAGATTCTCAAGTTGCCTGAGGACATCCCATCGTCAGAGGTAACCTGTGGCATGATGGAGGCAATACATAGACACACAGGGTTTAATCCAGTTGCCTCCACACCAGCATCTGGAACAATTTGCAGTGTTCTGGACTGTTTGAGATGCCCAGCTGGGGCTGATAGACAAGGGCCAGGAGAGAGGAAACCAAGCCTTGTTGGAACAGCCAGCATGTGGGACACAGGGATGTGTAGTGGGGCACAGGAACACCTTAGGCCGCACTTGTCTGTGTATGAGCAAAGGAACTGAGAGCTGGATATTCAGATGACAGGAGTCTGTGTCATGCTAGGTGACAAAAAGCCAGCTGGCAGTTAGAAAAGTCCTTCCACATGTTCATGTTAACATTTTATATATAAATGTTATATATATGTAAATGTTAGTGTGGATTTGCTAGGGGGACTGTAGAGAAATGGGAGAGTAAGAAATGCCATCATTATAGAATACGTGCAACTTCAAATTACATTAATATCCTGACTATTCCTGGGTAAATTTCAGACTACAATATCCAAATTGTTATCTTCTATTATTATGTACTTCAGCTAAGATAAGATATAAAGCAGCTCAGAAAATTGAGTCTTTATTTCTCTTAGAATATTTATACGTTATGAATATCTACATCCATATACAGAGGCATACAAATAGATATATGCATATATATCTGTGCTTGCATATATTCCCTGTATAAAAGAAGAACATGATTTTTAGGGCTCCACACAGTATCCTCTGCAGTACAGCAGAGAAAAGAAACTAAGACATTCAGCTGTCATAATGCTTTCAGTATACAATATTAATTGATATAAAATATTCATTCTTTTATTACACAAGTTTAACTGCCAAGAAAAAAGTTAGAGAAATGTGTCACTTCTGTAAGCTTGAGTGGCCAATATACTAGTTAGAGTTAATAACAATGTGGTGTAATTAAAATAACAGATAATTTAATTACCATGTTGAAGAAATGTAACATTTACCATCAAGTATAAAACAGACATAATTAATGAGTTGAAGATCTTATCATGGTCCTGATTAATATTTGATCATTGATCTAATTTGCACCACTTTGGGCAGGAAGCACAGGCACAAAGTGGGAAACAGGAGGAAAGAGTCATTTTATTCTATTTTGAGCTCCTTTTCAGGAGGTGACAGATTGTCAGACCCCAAAAGCTCAGGTCAGAGCTCTGTGCCTCTAGGAACACATCTATGGATTTAGCACTCACAGAGTTTATTTCTGCTTCTTTGCATTTCATAATTTGATTAAGCAATTATTTTTTTAAGAAAACAAAACAAAAACCCGAACAATAGTGACAAAGGCTTCTGCCTGCTATAAAGCACATATACATGTTCCATCAATTAAATTATACAGGAAAGGGTTCTAAAATAGCTATCTGTTTCTGGGCAGTTAAAGCACGTATTCGTAGTTTTCCTAACATATCACTCGGGCTTAAGTAAACAGGATTTTGGGCACCTGTGACACAGAGACTGATGGTTTCTAAAAGAAGAATATATGTCCCACTTCCCCAGACACTCATGGTTGGCTGTCTCCAGCTGCTGAGGCAATGTAAATCCCACATTCCTACTCCCTGGAGGCTACCTCTATTACCTGTTAGGTTCAATATCATTTTCAGAGCAAAGACTTGCTTCTTGTCCATTGCATGAGTCTACAGCAGGTTTCAAAACACTGAGGGCTTTAAAGCTGGCCTGTCAGAAAACATAATCGTAGAATCATAGAATCGTTAGGGTTGGAAAGGACCTTAAGATCATCTAGTTCCAACCCCCCTGCCATGGGCAGGGACACCTAATGCTAAATCATATCACCCAAGGCCTCATCCAACCTGGTCTTGAACACTGCCAGGGATGGAGCATTCACAACTTCCCTGGGCAACCCATTCCAGTGCCTCACCACCTTAACAGGAAAGAATTTCCTTCTTATATCCAACCTAAACTTCCCCTGTTTAAGTTTTAACCCGTTACCCCTTGTCCTGTCACTACATTCTCTAATGAAGAGTCCCTCTCCAGCATCCCTATAGGCCCCCTTCAGATACTGGAAGGCTGCTATGAGGTCTCCACACAGCCTTCTCTTCTCCAGGCTGAACCCCCAACTTCCTCAGCCTGTCTTCATACGGGAGGTGCTCCAGTCCCCTCATCATCCTCATGGCCCTTCTCTGGACTTGTTCCAACAGTTCCATGTCCTTTTTATGTTGAGGCCACCAGAACTGCACACAATACTCCAAGTGAGGTCTCACAAGAGCAGAGTAGAGGGGCAGGATCACCTCCTTCAACCTGCTGGTCTCACTCCTTTTAATGCAGCCCAGGATATGGTTGGCTTTCTGGGATGCAAGAGCACACTGAAGCCGGCTCATGTTCATTTTCTCATCAACCAGCACCCCCAAGTAATCCATAATAATTCATAGAATCAGCTCGCAGAATGAGAAGAAATCTGTATAATTAAGAAGAAAATCTTACTTAGAAATAGAACCCTGCTGTCAGAATAATTTCAGTAGCCTTGACTGAAGAAGGCTGTTGGAGAGTAATTTCACTATTAGCTCTTCATTACCTTCATCTGAGAGGCAGATGAGCTGGGCAGCAGATGCTCTTTGGTTGGCTCTTCGGAGTAACTAATTAATTAAATTAGTTAATTAAAGTAATTAAATGGTGCAAAACCTGAGATTCCTTAATGTAGCCTTGGTAAGTGTCTCCAGGCTTCAGAGAGGACCTTTCTGCTGTCAACACCAAGCACTGGCCATGGGACAGCCCTGTGGAACAGGTTCTCGCTGGATCCAAACCAGGAGCTCTCAGTGCATGTCCTAGGCTGCTTTTTCCACATCCCTGATGGATCAATATGCTGTACGCAAACCGAGGTGGTGCAAGGTGCTTTACAGAAGAGCAAACTCATGCACCAGAGAAAGGGGAGGGAGTTCATGAGTGGTCAGCATTCCTCAGCGGCTGCTGGGAATTCACATTTCAGCTGCTGGGAATTGATGTGGGAAGCCTGAGCCCTTGGCCTGCTGGTTGTTACAGCTGTGTCATCAACAGGAGTATATGAAGACGGCTGTTTTAGGGCAAGAATCACTCTGTGAAGCTATCCCTTGAAAGGAACCAGGTAAGACAGACTGGTCGCTGTGCTCCCTTTCCTGATGTCCTCTAGGGTGAGCTGAAGGTGTAGTTTCCCCATCAGTTTCAACTGATAAGGAGAAAAATACGTATCTTCTTGCTAATACTCTTCAATTCTCTAAAGAGGAATTGATCGTTCCAAGATGTATGATTTTGCAGCTTATTTAAATCTTAATAACTGAAATGTATAATGTATGATATTTCAGTAATGCTGATTATTATAGTCAATAATGGTGATTCTGAATGATTATAGTAGTCTTCATTGTTTTCAGAAGTTAATTGGAAACTGCAGCAAGAAATGGTGGTGGAAAAATACTTTGAGGCTTTCATACCCACGCATTATAGAGGTGTTACGGAGAGAAGAGATAGATAGCTGCTTAGTTTTTTCTGTAAAGACATTTTTAAGGACTTACTAATGGCTTGCAAGCTACAAAACTTACTATTGTTTGAATAATGAAAATTTCTGAGTGTTTATGACCCAGAGAAATTGGAATAGCTTAAGTCATTGTCTACACATATCTGAAACAAAATATGCTATAATTAAATAAAATAGACAACTTAGTTACTAAAAGACGGAAGCAATGCACTATTCTGTCTATTGAAGTTAACTCCATCCCAGCCAGGTATAGTAATGTTGCTCATATAAAAGTGGGGAAAACGCTAAATGGAAGTTCTGATGATTTTGTGCATGTAGCAGGGTTGTTTATAAGTTGTAAAAGGTATCTAATAAAAACTCACTTGTATGACTTGGATAAAGTTTTGAGGAAATTAGTTAAATTTCTTACTTTTTGAAGAAGTTATAACAGGGTGTATGCGATTCAAATATAGGAGTATTTGCTGGAGGTGGTATAGGTTATCTTTAAAGTTAATGGAAACAAATTATTAATCTAATTCTTTTAAATTTTATAGACATAAATATATTTTCTTGTTCTTACGCAATGTGCTTTCATATATATATATCTTTCCTCAAAAAGTAATTTTTCAATAGATTTATTCTAGAACATTTACTCTTGCACAAATGACATTTTTTTATTATCAAATAGCAGCTTGTATGTCATAAATAGCATTTGTACTGGGTAATGACAAGTGCAGGTTAAATGCATGATCTCTTTCTGGTTTTCTGTTCTCTTTTTCAGTAGCTGTTGTATTTGGTGGCACTGAATTCAGACATGAAGATCCTTTACCTTTTCTTTGCTATTTTCCTCTTAATGCTCCAAGGCACTTTAGGTAAGAGTTGCATAAGACCAAAGGAAATGGAGGAGGAAGCACACATGAAGTATAGAGTACCTAAAATAGAAATAAAATGTGTTTTAGTCCCTTCTGCCCAAGGCCAACAGGTGCTGGTCCACACTTTAGCAAGGGACAGACGCCACTTGGGTCCATTGGATGCCCTGAGCCCTCCTGCTTTGTAAAATAAGGAAATTTAATGGTACAGATGTGGCAAGCCTGCAAGTAGACTAAAATATTGCTGTCATAACTTGTTCTTGGTCTTCTCTGGGAAGGAAAATCAAGACTCTGTTCTGGGTTTTTTGTGCAGGTTTCATGCGAGCACCTAATAATGATGTGCAATGCAAGCAGGCTGGGGGTACCTGTTCCACCGACCTCTGTCCCCTACCCAACATGAGGCCTTTTGGACGTTGCCAGCAAAGGGTCCCTTGCTGTAGGGCTGTGGTGAGTTATGGATTTGGCGAATATCAGGTATTTCTTGGGAGAATGGGTTTATTATTCCCTTTCACACATTTGGACTGCCCTTTAGATGCAAAACTCTTCTAGTGCAAGCCAACAAGGCAGCAGAGACCCTGTACACTCAGATATAGGATTTCCTCACTAGTTGCCTCTGTACCATAAATAATGTACTCAAGTACTTCATGGGAAAGATCACAGTCAAATCTCTTTGGCAGAGAGGTAATTATCTAGAAATAAACTCCTTTTTTCTGCTGCTCTCATTAGCTGGTTCAAACTACTCATGATGAATGATACTGGCTTTAAAGGACATGTCTCTAAATGTGCAGACCTGGGATGTTTAGGCCAGGTTCACCTGCATGCTCCACACTGTAAAGTCTGCCAGGTCTCACAGTCAGAAGAACAAGCTTGAGGCATGCTGTTCTGCTGGATGTTTTCTCCTGTTCTGTAATTTTACCCTCTCTATACAAAACTAAAACATTAAATTGTATTTTTTTTTTTTTCTTGAATTCCCTACTGGAATTCTAAATTTCAGGCTGTATCTTTACTCCAGTATGAAACTGCAGAAACAAACATCCATGAAAACTTACACTCTCTCTCCACTGATTCTAATATTTCATTTTCTGTATCTTTTGGCTATAACATGGAGTCTCTTATTTAACTTCATTCAGTATGAATAGCAAAGTTGTTAAAGACAAAGTGTGTTCAATATGAATAGCAGAGTTGTTAAAAACAAAGACCAGAAGAAATTCCCCAGAAGAATTTCCCCTCCATACAAGACATTTTGAGATGAGTAGGAAGCTTCAGGTACAGACACTGGGAAACTCATTATTAATTTAAATAGTAAGGTATTTTATGATCAAAATGCAGCAGCAGGAGTGTGAATATCCTAGTAAGCATTACCATGTTATCCAGAACTATCAGCTCTTGGTGCTCATTCAATTCCTCTGCTTTTTATTCAAACCTTGTTCTGGTTATAAGTACAAAACCTGAAAGTTTCTTTCCTCTTTTGCAGTATGATTAGCGACTGTGGGCATCTCAGATGGGCCAAGCAGAGCTTCTGGCAGCTTGGGATGCATCATCCCATCAGGAAACCTGGAATTTTAAGCTGAAAATGTGCATTTAGCACACACATGCACACACCAAAAAATGAGTAACAGCAGAAAGAAAACAAACTGCTCCACAAACAGACATGAAGAAATCAAAGCAATTCTTGAACCACCCAGGAGAAAAAAACAACAATATTTCTTATTTGTCTAAAATGTTTTTCTCTTGAAACTGTATTTTGGCCACCAACACCTACCCCAGAGGGCAGAACACCAACATGCAGAAGTCTGTCCTCATGAAGGGATGCACAGTAGGGTCCTCCTTTGGCCCTCAGAACAGGTACTCATTATTTCCTTTTAAAGTTAGCAATAATGCAAATAACGCTAGAAGACAAAGTCTGCAGGAGACATTGAACACTCAGCTGCAATGTTAGTATGTCATGGTCTGTATATCTCAATAAATCTTAGTAAACTTGCTTCAGAAGACTTTTGTTTGATCCTTATACCTGTGAGGATTTGTCTTGGTGTGTGTTATTGCTGGAGGATCTGCCTCTCATCTCACCCGGGTCAGTGTGAGATGTCCCTTGTGCTAAACTTATCCAAGCAAAGGAGAAGAAACCAAACCCATGTATGTGCAGGAATATGGCCTGGTCCTATTCACTATCCGGTTGACCAGTAACAGTTAAGAATAACTTCTCCAAACCTGCTGTGGTTAGGCTAGTAGAAAGCTGGGACAAGCTGAGCATGTTCAGTGCCTGTTGCAGTTTGTGGTATGGAGAGTGTGGGTACTTTGAGTCATTCCTTGTCTCAGATCCATTTGGCCTTTGCACTAGCGCTTTGGGATGGGGAAAGGAAGCAGGGGATGTGCCTGTCTGTACCTTGTAACAGGAGGCACCAAGACTCCAGGGAGCTGGACACAATCCACTGCCTCCGAACAGCATGGTGGAGTGATAAATAGCGTTTACTTTAGTAACCAAATAACTTAGTAATAGTTTAGGATCCAGAGAAGTAAAAGTCCGTTAGCATGGTGCTGGCCTGGACTAAATAGAGGCAGCATGAGAAGAACATTGTGAATGTGGGGAGGTGATTTCAAGACCTAAAGGAGCTGGTCTTCTGCCACCCCACGGTTTGTCTGTGTTGCCATTCCCAGTGCTTCATTATTGAGAGCATCACAAGTAGTGTGACCAGCAGGTCGAGGGAGGGGATTCATCTCTGCTCTGATGAGGCCCCCACACCCACCCACCCCCACCCCACCCCACCCGGCATTGGGGCCCCAGCATAAGAAGGATGTGGAGCTGTTGGAGGGAGTCCAGCAGTGGTCATGAAGATGCTCCAAGAGCTGGAGCACCTCTGCTCTGGAGACAGGCTGAGAGAGCTGGGCTTGTTCAGCCTGGAGAAGGGAAGGCTCCAGGGAGACCTTAGAGCAGCTTCCAGTGCATAAAGGGCTGACAAGAAAACTGGAGAGGGGCTTTTGACAAGGGCCTGTAGGGACAGGACAATGGGGAATGGCTTTAACCTGACAGAGGGGAGATTGAGATGAGATCTTAGGCAGAAGTTCTTCCCTGTGAGGGTGGTGAGGCCCTGGCACAGGGTGCCCAGAGAAGCTGTGGCTGCCCCATCCCTGGCAGTGCTCAAGGCCAGGTTGGACACAGGGGCTTGCAGCAACCTGCTCTAGTGGAAGGTGTCCCTGCCTGTGGCAGGGGGTTGGAACTGGATGATCTCTGAGATCCCTTCCAGCCTTAAACATTCTGTGACTCCATGATTCAGGTTGGGCTGGCAGATGCAGCCCTGGAGAGGAGCAGAGGACTGAGTCTGCTTCCCAACCCCCAGCCTGGTGCCCTCGGATGGGATGACAGAGGAAATGAGCTCTAGTGCTTTTTGATTTATTAACATATATGTTCTCGCACAAAACACTGCAACACAGACACTCTGCAGGATGATTTAACAGGGCTTAGTGACATGCACACTTAAATTAACTCCATTTAGTTAAATAAATTCCATTTACAGGTTGATTTTTATA